GAGAGGAACCAAGAAGGAGGGGAAGGCCGGGGGAGACTCAGAGGCAGCCCGGAAACAGCTCAGCACCTAAGGGAGGTTTCCCAGCAGCCTTCGGAGGGCCCAGGCATGAACCAGGGGGACCCTCCACAGTGAGCGTGTGGTCTGGGTCCGTGTAGAATGGGCACATCCAGCCAGGAGACACTGGGCCAAACGTGTGAGTACACACAGTACAGCAAAGGGCCACCAGACTGCTAAAAGGAGCCCTCAGCCGTCACGCGCAGTGCGAGTCCAGTCCATTTCTTAGGGTCTTGGGGAATATATATATATATATATATATCAGGGATATATATATATAATCAGGGATGTATATATATATAATCAGGGATATATATATATATATATATATATATATATATATATCCCTGAAATTTGGCCTATGTTAAGTAGTCGATCCTGTTCGTATATCTGTGTGTCCATATTTTCACTTGGTGATAGTGAGAGTCTAAACTCAAGGTCCTGCTGTAATGTAACACCCAAGTCCAAAGGTCTGCCTGGGAGAGTAATAAAAGGCTGGAAGAACAGATTCCAAAATGCCATTGTGGTCCTCTCTCTGGGCGCCGCTAGCGATTGGTTGTGGTGGCTAGGTGTGGTTTTGGCTTTTTCTACAATAAAAAATAAGTGTGTGGCCTGCCCAGCACGGCTCAGTGGTTGAGCATCGACCTATGAGCCAGGAAGTCAGGGTTCGACTCCCGGTCAGGGCACAGGCCGGAGCTGCAGGCTCGATCCGCAGTAGGGAGCATGCAGAAGGCAGCCGGTCCATGATTCTCTCTCCTCATTGATTTTTGTAACTCCCTCTCCCTCTCCCTTTCTCCCTGAAATAAATAAAAATGTTTTTTAAAATATAAATAAAAGTGGCTGTCCTTTTTAAAACCTCATTTTAAGGTGACCAGATGTCCCGCTTTTGGCGGGACAGTCCTGATTTTGAACAATTTGTCCCGCATCCCGCAGCGTTTAAAAAAAAAAAAAAAAGTCCCAATTTTTGGAAAGAATCTTTTAAATCTTTTGGACTTTTTTTTTTTAAATGCCAAGGGACGCGGGACAAATTGTTAAAAATCAGGACGTCTGGTCACCTTACCTCCTTTGCGCATTACTTTCCATTCGCATGTCAGGAACCGCAGAAGTTATTAAGGACCGCTCTCCCGCCCTGGGCACACCTGTGTCAGGGAGAGGCAGGATGGAGTGTCGCCCCCAGCACCCAGGCTGGTCTCTGGCCTGTCAATGACCAGTGGCTGCTAATCTTGACTCTTGACTGCCTGGGTGACCTACAGGGTGGGTCATTTAGGCCTGTGTGGGCCGCAGCTTGCTCATCTGTGAAATGGGTCAGCAATGCTCCCACCTCGCAGCATGCAGGGGCTGTTACAAGCGCGTGGACCTGTGCCCGGTGCGGAGGAAGCACTGATAAGCGTTTGCTCCTTTCCCAGCGGGCTGTGCGAGCAGGGGCGGCTCTCCCCCCCATCCCCCGGCTCCCCCAGGACCCCAGGACCCGGACAGCCCCTGCCCTGGGTGGGCGACCACAACCCTCTAAGCCGGCACGGAGGGGTCCAGGCCGGAGGGGGCGCGGGCCTGGGGCGGCGGCGGCCGCGGAGGGAGGGGCGGCGGCTCACCGTTGTCCACCTCCACCTCCACCTCCTCGGCCAGCACCCTGCGGTAGAAGAAGAGCGTGGAGGCGCCCTCCTCCTCGCTGGTCTTGTTGAGAAAGTGCAGGATCAGGTCCTCGGCCTCGCCGTCCTCGCGGGTCAGCAGCTCCTCGAAGAGCTGCGGGTCCGTGAGGCCCAGGGCCGTGTACACCCGGTCGCGCATCCACTGCACCCGCAGGTCGTCCATGGCGCCGCCGCGGACCGAGCCCGGCGCCGGCAGGCAGGCGTCCCTGGCAACGGCGCCCCTAGCAACGGCCGCCTCGCAACGGCCGCCCCGCGCGGGCCGGCTGCCGCCCGGCCACAGGCCCCCGCGGGCAGAGCGAGCCCAGAGGCGGGCGCGGGTGGACCCGAGCCCTCAGGGAAGCCTGGGTCCCCAGCCGGCCCCCCAGCCTGTGCGCCGAGGGGTGAGGGGCTCCTCCTCCCCCCCAGCCCCGCCGGGGGCAGCCCGCTGCGGCCCTCGGGGCGCCAGGAGCCTGTCCTGGGACTCCCAGCGCCGGACCCTGCCCGTTTCATTCGGTTTTGGAAACCGAGGCAGGAGCGGTGACAAGACGAGGCCCAGGATCTGGAGGCGGAGGCCGAGTTGGAGGCCAGGAAGGGCCCTGCCAGCCCCCAGGCCGGTAGATCACGGGGTCAGAGGAGCAAATAGCTTTGCGGAGGGAGGTTGGAGGGACAAGTTCGGGTGTGTGTGTGGCGGGGGGGACACACGTTTGTTTTTTTTGCTTCTAGTCAAGCCAGGGAATAAAGCAGAGCGCTCACGTTTTAAAAATAAAGATTTATTTTCCGTTAGTAAAAAGTTCAACACTGAGAGGGAGACGCGCACGTGTCCTTTCATGCACTGGGGTCGGGGCTTGTCCACGGTGTTTCTGCTCGGCGTGGAGCCCTCGCTTCCCGCCGACCCTGAGCACCGGGCCCGGCCGGGTTCCCACTGAGCGAGGGGAGACCCAAGGCTCCTTACAATTCGCAGCCCGCACTCAGCCCGGGCTGGCCGCCGGCAGGGTCCCTGGCACTGCCCGGTGTCCAGCCTGGAATCGCGATGCTTCCGGAGACCAGGTGGCCCGCACGCACACCTGGCTTCAACACTTTAGTCACAAAACGTGATTTTAATGCAGACCACAGAGCAGCGGCTGAAGCTCATTTTCATTTGTTTTCCAAAGCAGAGGGTCCTAATGCATCGCTAAGAAACTCATACATGCAGCAGGCCCACCAAATACTAGCTTAGAAACAGAACAAAGCACTGCTCTGGGGACACAGCGCTGGGACCAAGGGCTCCAACGGGAAGTGAAGTTCCCTTTGGTGCCGAGACCGTCACACTGTGTTTCTAGAGGGTTCTGTCAGGACCACTCGTTTGCTTTTTGTAGAATTACATTCCACACATTTTCAATGGAGAAATGACTCCCTCCCGGGTTCATCCCGAGAGAAGGTGCTCATCGGAATGACAGGGCCCGGACAGGGAGCAGCGGGCCGGGAGGCTCCGGCAAATGCTCTCCGTGCTCCCCGGGGAGGACTTAGCCCCTCCTCCTTCTCAGCCCCTGGAGGCGCCCAATGAACACAGCCTGTGAGGGCCAGGCTGAGCGCTGGGCTGAAATCTGATTTCAACGGGCATTTTGTAACGCCTTCTGCTCTCAGTTTCCCACCTGCAGTCTCACAGCTCTGTTCACCAGCCCTCCCCCCCTGCGGTGTCCCACCTGGAGACGGAGTATTCGGATCTCACCTTCACCCCAACAGTGTCCATCACTCCCTCTGGGGAAACTCGGCCGAGAGCAGACATTTTCCCGTCTCCTCAGCCTCGCCATCGGCCTGATGTTTAACATGAGGGACAAACCCCAGAATTCCAACTGGCGTGGGTGACACCCATGGGGAGCAGCATGGAATCCTCACAATGAGAAAGGTCTGTCAGTTCTGCTCGGGGGTTGTGGACCCATCAACCAGGAGGTCCCAGTTCATTCTGGGTCAGGGCCCAGGCCCAGCTGTGGGCTTGATCCCCACTGGGGGGCATGCAGGAGGCAGCCCTTGCATGATTCCCTCATCATGGATGTCTCTCTCCCCCTTTCTCTCTGAAATCAATAAAAATGCCTATTTCTTAAAAAGGTTTGATGTTAGAGTCAGTTATGCCTGGCTGTTCAGTTCCCCCTCCTCGGCCCACGAGCCAGGGCAGAGGATGGCGACGGACAGGCTTGGGCGTGTGTTACGGGAAGTGTGAGCAGGTGGACATACTGCGGGCTCGTCCTGAACATGACTGACGGCCATCACAGTGGAGGCGGGGGAAGGAGCATGACGCACAGGAGACAGGACCGACTCCCGCTCGTTCAGAACTGAACGTCACGTGAGCAGATGCAGTTAAAGGAGACTCAGGTCAGTGGCGGAGAATCGGCTTCCGACCGAGCTGAGTGTGCGACGTGCCCGTGACCTCTGAGTGCCTTAGCCGGACCTTCCTTTAGAATCGGCCTCAAAGTACAGAAACGACCAATGGCCCGTTCTCAAGGGCAGGTGCGACTCCCTCGTGGTAAAATACCTTCATTCACATTTTGTGATAAAAGCATACAAAAGATTATTCTCTCCCTCTCCCCGCTCAGCATAAACCCTGTTGGCTCAGTTACGTCAGCCACTCGGGGACTGAGCCCAGGGCCTGTCCCACTGCATCATCCAGTCCCGCTGCGTCACACGGCCCGGCACAGCGCACACACGGCGAGGGTAACCGGAATGACGCGGGAGAACAGGGCAAGAGTCTTTAAAAACGCACAAGCGGAATAAACATCTGTGTAGGTTTCGTCCCATAGTCCCCAGTTAAGACATGACAGAAGTGTAGAAACCACCTCCTACTCAGAATCCCAGGAGAATAAAAAATGTTTGCACAGTTCTGGTCAGGCAGAGTATTAAATGTGTCTTGATTATCCGTCATTAAACGTTTTAAAAAACTAGACTTATTCAGCTGCTGGAAAATATTCTCTGACTTCGGGTGACAGAGAAACTCTGTTTTGGGGGTTTTTAATAAGGTGGAAGGAATGAATTACCTAGGACTGCTTCTGATCAGCCACTCAAAGGGGACTCCCCTCTCCCAAGCCTGTGTTTTAAAAAATAACTTTATCGTAACGTTTGGCATTAACTTATGTTTGCTCCTCAGGAACACTGAAATAAATGTGTGTGTCTAAACTGACAAACTTTACAAAACAACGTGAGGAAGAGGTATATCTTACAGAATTATTTGGCTAGATCCTAAGGCAATCAATGAAGACAGAGTTTTTCTGATCGTAAATCGGACTTAAGCGAATTTCTACAACATGATAACCCTCCGCCACTGGAAGCCTGAGGGAGGCAGCTGCGCGGTCACGCCCCGTCGTCGCTGAACTTCCATGACAGTCGTCGGAAGGAGAAAGGGACGAACTTGGTGCCTGCACCAACATAGAACTTGTTCTGGAATTCCACCCTAAAATGAAAAATAAAAAAAATCCATGTATTAATGAAAGGCTGCGAATAACGTTCCCACATTCTGTAGAACAGCTTCTAAATTAAGAACAAAATCCCTGGGCTGCGGTTGCTTTACCCTGTAGTGTTCTCGGCAGAACTATTTGTACTCAGAATGTACACACGTGCCCGCCCGTGTAGGCGTGACGTGTTAGAAACACATCACTGCCTCACCCACTGTGTACGCGCGCGCACGCGCGCGCACACACACACACACACACACACACACCAGCACCAGGACCTCCCCACCGTGGCGGAGGGTACAGACACTGAGAAACAGGTAGGAAGCCTTTTACGGGATAAAGCAAGGCCCGCGGTGAACTGAGAGCCTGGAACACACAGTCACGGGGCGAGCGTGGACTTGCTCTCGCCTGTCAGGGCTGACAGCTCAGAAACCAAACAGAATGATAACTCGGCGATCTGGACACAAGCCCCCTGTGCGGCAGGGAAGACACGGCTGAGATAAGCACTGGATAGGGCTCCTGTGCGGCAGGGGAGACAGGCTGAGATAAGCACTGGATGGGGGGGTTGCATACACGCATTAGCGGGGGGAGTTGGACTTTTCGGAAGGGACAGAGCCGCTCACCAGTGGAGGCGGATGGCGTGGAGGAAGGCGGACAGCCCCTCCATGAGCAGCAGGATGAAGATGGTGAGCACGGCAAACAGCGCCATCACGGGCAGCAGCAGCAGCACGCCGTAGGTCTTGTCCACGCGGAGGCCCACGCGCATCAGCATGGCCCACAGCACGTCGGACAGCTCTGCGGGGCCGTGAGCGGGTGAGCGTATGTCCCGGCCGCCTGCACGGGCTCCCCCGGCCACTCCCACTGTCCCCCGCGGATCCACACCCTCCTCTACGCCACCTGCTCCTCACGGGAACGGACACAGCGCCCTGACCCAGACCGGGAGGGGTGGCGCCAAGCTGGGGCCCTGGGCTCTTTCCCAGCACTGCCCGGCCCAGCAGCGCTGAGAGTGGTGCTGAGCTTCCCCGTAATGTGTCCGGGTGCTGCGTGGGTGCTGCGCGGGTGCTGGGCGGGTGCTGGGGGGCAGGGGGAGCAGGGGCACTCACGTGCGTGCGCCAGGCTGAGGGCCCAGAGCCGCAGGTAGGACGCGGTGTTGGAGATGCAGCCCAGGCAGTACTCGATGGAGTGGATCACCTGGGTCATCAGTATTTCTCCGAAGTTGAACTGCGAAGACCAGCGCACGGTGAGCGTCGGCGCCCGTGAGGTCCGAGCCCGCTCCGCGCTCCGGGCGACCAGAGAGCTGCTGTGGGGCGCGGCCCGAGGACGCCAGGGTGCAGGGGGCCGCTCAGCTCTGCTCGCCAGCCCTCCCCCACCTTGGTGTCTCCCCCGGAGACGGGTTATTCTCATCCTTCTCACCAAGACCACTACTTTATGGAAGCTTAGTGATGAGTCTATTTTTTTATTAATTTCAGAGGAAAGGTGAGGAAGAGAAAGAGAAACTCGATGATAAGAATCACTGATCGGCTGCCTCCTGCACGCCCCACACTGGGGATCGAGCCCAAAACCCGGCCTGTGCCCTGACCGGGAATCGAACCCTGACCTCCTGGTTCACAGGCCAACGCCCTACCACTAAACCCTGCCGGCGGGCGTGGGGGCGTCCATTTTACATCAGGACAGAGCTTCACCTCTTCACTGGTCACCTCTCGGCGGCCGTCCTCCAGCACGGTGCTCCCCTCCTCGATGTCCTGGCTGCCCATCAGGGACACCTCCTCCTCGCTGTCCTTCCTGACCAGCGTGTACCCGCTCTAGCGACAGACAGGGAGCGCGGGCAGCGCCTTTCAGGGCAGAGCCGCGACCGAGCCGAGGTCGGAGCCCTCGCTGCTAACAAGCTAGAGGTCCCTCAGGAACACAAACGTCCATTCAAGTAAAAGGAGACTTCACACCCGTCAGGACAGCGGCGATAAAACACCGGGAAAGAGCGCACCCGGCCTCTGGCCGCCCCCCCGGCCTCTGGCCGCCCCCCCGGAGCAGCACCAGCCCCGCGGGCTCCGTGGAGGCCCGGACACCAGGGGAGCGGGTGGGAGCGGGTCGGATCATGGACTCCCAGAGGGAGTGGCCGGGGGCCGCGGGGCGGGCGGGCGGGCGGGTGGGGCGGGGGCCGCCGGGGCCCGCGGAGTGGACTCACCCTGCTGACGCCGAAGCAGCTGCGGCCGTTGTGCAGCCACAGCAGGAAGAGCGGCTTCCCCAGGAAGAGCACGGGCACGGCCAGCGCGGTGACGGCCAGCAGCAGCCGCTGCACGTGCTCCTGCGGGCGAGGGCGGAGGGGGAGGGCGCGGTGACCACGCGGGCCCCGGTGGGTCCTCAGGCCCCGCACCCCGACGCTCATGACCGGGGCGCTTGGCCCCGGGCGCTGTGGCTCCGGGGACGGGCTCACCTGGCCGGCGTACAGCCCGCTGGTGGGCGCGCTCGGGAACAGGAACATGTTGATGAACTCGATGAGGATGCTGGGCGCCACGCGGGAGGTGTCGGCCGAGTAGACCAGCCACTTATAGATGATCATGAAGATGAGGTAGCCGAACATGCAGAGCAGGAAGAGCAGCTCGGGCACGGTCACCAGGTAGATGTTGAACTTCTTCCGGAAATGCCTGCGGAGAGGGCCGGTCAGCCCGGGCGGTGGGGCCGCGCCGAGGCACCAGGTGATCCCCCAGGACGGAGCCCCTCGGCACGGCTCCCGCCCGCACGCAGAGCCGTCAGGGGAGATGATGCACCCTCACCCCTACGACCCCAGCTATAAACACAGGGCTGTCTGCCCGGCGGGGGCTCGGTGGCTGGAGCTTCCCCGCACACCAAGAGGCCTGCGTCCCCAGGCCGTGGGTTCCATCCCCGGTGGGGGCAGGTACGCGAGGCCACCAACCGATGTTTCTCTCTCTCTCAGCAACAAATATATCCTTGAGTGAAGACTACAAAACTAAAAATTTTTTAAAGTTTTCTAACTCATAAAAAAAAAAAAAGAGAGAACGGGATAAGCCAATTCCAGAAACGAGTGTGTAATCGCCGTGCTCTCTGGTGTCCTCCCTGCTTGTTCCCTGAGCCCGAAGCGCTGCCTGGCGCCTGCCACGTGCTCGGTAAACGCCTGCTGAGCAAACGAGCTAACGGCACTGTCAGCACCGGACCATCGGACGGGACCTCGGGACGCACTCACCACACCGGCTCTCTCCATCGCTGCCATCGAGAGGCAGAGTGAGCAACGCCACGCGTGGCTCAGAAACACGCCCCGAGAACCTGTACTCACACGTGGTTGAATATTCCCAGGACGACGCCAAAGGTCATGTGGATGATCCCCAAAATGACCGCCATCTTCATTTTGAACGAGTTCAGGAAAGTGAGGCGATTGGTGGCCAGGTTCCAAATCTACAGACAAACCAAAGCCAAGGAGAAACCGCGAGGTCCTGCCGCCGCCTCGGTGACGGGACGTCTCCCGACCGGACGCAGCGGGCACCCAGCAGGAGCGGCCTCACGCCGTCCTCCGAGGCCCCGCTCCCCTGAGAGCCGGTTCCTCACCGGGCCCGGAGGACAGAGCCACCCTGACAGTGAAGGCCCACAACACCAGCGCCTGTGCGTCTGGGGGCGGCGAGGAGAGCAGGAGGCAGGGACCCTGGGCTCAGCAGTCAGGGCGCCCATCCCTCTGGGGAGAGCGAGAGGGTGCCTGTGGGGCCAGGGCCCTGACCCTGGGCAGGGACAGACAGGCTGTGTTACCTTCTCGTACAAATATTGCAAGTTAACCACACACACAAAAACTGTGTTATTAAAGTGTGTGCGGGCAGGCGGGTGTGGGATATCGGGCACCGTCCTATAAAACGACGGTCTAACCACAGTGTCCTGAACGAATACAAAGCCCGTGGCCCTGAGAAGCCACAGTGCCGGAAGGGGCGCAGAAGAGGGGAGGGGATGGGAGGGAAGGGGAGGGGAGGGGGGCACTCACAGGGTCGATGCCCAGCGGGTAAGGGCCCTGGAACACCCCGGGGACGCTCGGGTCCAGCTGCAGGACGTGGCTGTGCCTGACCACGCTGTCACTGGAACAGAGCGAGGGGAGAGGGCGGTGGGGGGACGCTCTCCCTGCCGCCCCGGCGCCCGGCCCCGGCCTCACTCACTTCCACAGCGCCCTCCTGCCGCGCTCGGCGGGCGGGTGGCTGGCGCTGTACATGGCGGACACGTTCCAGCCGGAGCCGAAGAGGTTGAGGGACTTGGAGAAGCAGTCGTTGTAGATGAGGCCGGTGTACACGGAGAACAGCCCCATGAGCAGGAGGATGTAGCGGCCGCTGAAGAACATGCCCAGGATCTGCGCGGAGAGCGGCGTGGTGAGCGCGGGCCCCGCCACAGGCCGCAGGAGCGGGCGATGGCCACGTGACCGAGGCTGGCCCGCGCCCCTTCTCAACCTCCGCCCTCGGGGCCCTCGGACGAGGCACTGCAGCCCGGCCCGTGTGGCTCAGGGGTTGAGCATCAACCTAGGAACCAGGAGGTCACAGTTCATTCCCGGTCAGGGCACAGGCCCAGGTTTTAGGCTTGATCCCAAGTGGGGGGCGTGCAGGGGGCACCTGATCTATGATTCTCTCTCCTCATTGATGTTTCTCTCTCTCCCTCTTTCTAAAAATCAAAAACAAGACCACCACCAAGACGTGGTCACGGAGGTCCCCGCACGGAGGAGACCCCTCGGTCTCGGCCGGCGCATTGCGTGACCGCCGCCCTGACCGGCCCGGCAGACTGTGCGGCCCAGGAGACCCCTCGCCTCTGGCCGCCCCCCCCGGGGGGCGCGGCAGCTCACCTCCTGGGGCCGGCTCATCCGGGGGTGGTTCTCGTTCACCACCAGCAGCAGGGCGAACAGGAACATCACGGAGCCGTGGCCCAGGTCCCCGAACATGACGGCGAACAGGAAGGGGAAGGTGATGATGCTGAAGAGCGCTGCAGGGAGAGGGCTCAGGCGGCGCGGGGAGGGCGGGCTGGGGGCTGTCCCCCACGGGGCCGCCAGACACACACACACACTGTCTCCCCCCACGGGGCCGCCGGACACACACACACACACACTGTCCCCCCCCACGACACACACACAGTCTCCCCCCACGGGCCGCCGGACACACACACACACACACACACACACACACACACACTGTCTCCCCCCACGGGGCCGCCGGACACACACACACACACACACTGTCCCCCCCCACGACACACACACAGTCTCCCCCCACGGGCCGCCGGACACACACACACACACACACTGTCTCCCCCCACGGGGCCGCCAGACACACACACACACTGTCTCCCCCCACGGCACACACACAGTCTCCCCCCACGGGCCGCCGGACACACACACACACACACACACACACTGTCTCCCCCCACGGGGCCGCCAGACACACACACACACTGTCTCCCCCCACGGCACACACACTGTCTCCCCCCACGGGGCCGCCGGACACACACACACACACACACACACACACACACACACTGTCTCCCCCCCATGGGCCCGCCGGACACACACACACACACACACACACACACACACTGTCTCCCCCCCACGGGGCCGCCGAACACACACACACTGTCCCCCCCCCACGGGCCCCACACACACACACACACACACACACACACACACTGTCTCCCCCCACGGGGCCGCCGGACACACACACACACACACACACACACACACACACACACTGTCTCCCCCCCACGGGGCCGCCGGACACACACACACACACACACGCACACACACCTGGGTTCACCTCCCGGTAGCAGCCCACGCCGTAGGCGTCCACGATGTTCTGGAAGCCCTCGGTGAACTTGTTGGTGCGGATCAGGGTGGGGGGCGTTTCCTTGGTCGGGATCGTGTTCATGAACGAGGTGACGGTAGCTCCGCTCTCTCTCTTCCACGGGAAAGAGTAAAATAAAGAGACTGACCACGAGCCTTTCGCCACGCTGCTCCCGCCAGCCGGCCCGGGCTCCGGGGAGTGCTGATCGCGCCCGCCAGCCTCGAGGCCAGCAGGAGGCGCAGGAACAGGGGCGAGTGGGTTTGGGGACATGGAGGGAGGAGCTGCAGGGCCTCCTCCACGCAGACAGACGCTAAGAGTCAAAGGATCAGCCCTGACCGGTGTAGCTCAGTGGATAGAGCGTGGGCCTGCGGACTGAAGGGACCCGGGTTCAATTCCAGTCAAGAGCATGGGCCTTGGTTTCGGGGACATCCCCAGTGGCAGGAGGCAGCTGATCAAGGTTTCTCTCTCATTGATGTTTGTAACTCCCTTCCTCTCTGTAAAAAAAAATCAATAAAATATATTTAAAAACAACAAGGAGCCCCGGGATCACCAGGAAACTGGAGTTTAGTCTCTTATCTTTTAAAAACGTTCGGAGGAGATGAAGCCGACCCCAAGGACTCCTCACACCCGCGTCACCACAGACACAACAGTGAGGCGTGGAGGCCTGGGGGTGGGGTCACTGCGGGGAAGGGGACATAGGTAACACTTCCAACAACAAAGATGTTAAAAGGTAAAATTAAAGGAATGAAGCGTTCCAGAGCCGTTTGCAGACCCAGCACCACCTCACCCACCGACCCAGCGTCAGCGGGCGGCTGCCTCCGGGCCCGGCCCGCCTCGCACGCCGTGAGCTCTAAGCACACCCCCCGCTCAGAGGGAAGGGCGCCCTCACGTCCAGCAGCTCCGGTGTGGCCAGAAGGGTTTCCAGTCAATTCCATTTGCTGAGACACGGGCCGGGCCTGGGGAGCTGGCCGCCACGGCAGAGTGCGAACCCCGAGGCCCCTCAAGGGCACAGTGCACCCAACAGAAGACGGAGCCCCACCAGCATGCTCACAACAAAGCCACGGCCCCGAGATCACAAACCCCCCGTGCGGGACGGACTCGGAGCCCCAGCCCCTCCCGGCCGCGGAGCCAGCTGTGGTCCTTACCGAGCCGTCCTCCAGGGCGCGCCGCAGGCCCGGCAGGTCGGCCTCGGGGCACCAGACCTCGGCGATGAGGCACTTGTTGGTCACGTCGAGGCTGCACATGTTGAGCATGTGGTAGATGGCCTTCATCTTCTTCACCTGCACGGCGCGGCTGTACACCGACTCGGCCGCCTTGCTCAGCACCTGCCTGAGGTAGTCCTCCGTTTTGTGCAGCACCTGGGGGGGGAGGGGGGAGGCGCTGTGGGCGGGTGGCGGCGGCTCTGCCCTCCTGCCTTCCTGCCCTCCTCAGGGCTCTCCACGGAGGCAGGCTGATGCCCGGCACCTGCTGCCCAGAGACAGGTGAGCAGCCTTCACCCACCTCTTCCTCTTCCCCCTCCTCCTCTTCCCACCTCCTCCCCTCCTCCCCTCCTCCGGGGAGGGGACCCAGGCGGCAGGGGGAGGCCTGAACTAGCCTCGCCCAGAGGGACCCAGGGCCACAGGAAAGAGTTCGGGGTCACAGGCCTGGGGGTGCAGGGAGCTCCGGGTTCTCACCGTCCCCCCTCCCGTGCCGCCCCGGCAGGAGGCCCCGGCATCTCAGTGGTCAGAGCCCGCTTCTCCACCCAGAGCCCACCCTGCCCTGCGGAGATGGCACACGAGAGCCATGGAGGCGGGCGTGATGGAAGCTTCCGCGACACCCACGGCGACCTCCACGGCAGAGCCGCCACTAGCTGGTCCCCGCAGGCTGTCCAACGACACGCCCGACGGGAGGCGCGGCCTCCGGCCTCCCGGTCACCGCAGCACCTCCCACTGGCGTGCGGCCGGCCCTCACCGTGTACAGGTCCTGGATGCGGGTGCTCAGCCCCTCCTGGATCTCACGGCGCTCCTCGGCGGTGCTGGGGTACGGGTAGACGTGGCAGTGGTAACTGCAAGACAGAGTCCCCGCAGCCGTCAGGACCCGGAGGGGCTGGAGGGAACTGGGGAGCGAACCTCAGGGAGAAACTGCCCGGGCTCCACCCAACACGGCCACGGCCACGGCCACGGCCACGTGCGGCTCAGGGCCCCGGGGAGGTGCAGACACTTCAGCCTGATTCCTTTGCAACTGACCTGCTTTAAAATGTTCGTTAATGATTTAAATGTTTTTTCAAATGACTTTAGAGAGAGGAAGGGGAAGGGAGAGGGAGAAACATCAATGAGACAGAATCATGGACCGGCTGCCTCCTGCACGCCCCCCACTGGGGACGGAGCTCCCAGCCCGGGCCTGTGTCCTGACCGGGAACCGAACCCTGACCTCCTGGTTCCGAGGTCGACGCTCAGCCCCTGAGCCAGGCCGGTGGGGCCAATTAATCTTTTAAGCCTTGATTTTCAAAACACTGGGAGCGTCATTATAACACGGCCTCTAAGCTGTTCGAAGAACCGCCCTGGCAGAGTCGGCGACCGATGCCATGTTTCGGGGCGCAGCGCTGCAGCGAGGACGCCCGGGTCAGCCTGGCAGCCTTGGCACCCGCTGCGCTCTGCACCGGCGGGGGTGGGACGGGGGTGGGGACGGGGGCGGGGAGGAGGGGGCAGCGAGGGGAGGAACGGGGGAGAGGAAGGGCTGCCCTCACCAGTCGCAGATCTTCTTCACCTTGTGGCCGATCTGCTCGCCCCAGAAGGAGATGAGGAACACGTACCACTTGATGACCTCGCCCTGCGGGAGGACGCCCTTACTCCGTGCTCAGCCTCCGCCCGGCCTGTCCTTCCCCACAGACATGCTGACGCCTCGTGAGGCCACAGCGGCACGTTTCCCGCGAAAATCGCCCCAACCCCAAAGCAGGGCCGCGGGGGTGCCATTCTCGGACAAGCCCCCGCGTGCTCCCTCGGCCTCGCTCCCTCCACCTGCCGGCGCCCGCGGCCTGGGGGCGGCCTCGCTGCTAAGACAGCCGAGCGCAGAGTGGACGTGCTGTCCGCGTCCCCCCACCCGCAGGACCGAGGACACCTCTCAGAGGAGCCTCCCAGGCAGAGGCTGGAGGGACAGCGCCTCCGGGGCCGGCCGTGCTGGGCCGGGGGAGAAGCCCGGGATCGGGGGGGGGGGGGGGGGGTGAGGGCCGGCCTCCGGCTGCCCAGCCCTGCGGGCCTGTCGGCCGAGGCGGCCGTGCGCCCGCTCACCGTCTCCGGGTCCTCCAGCGCCTCGTCCAGCTCGGCGTAGGTCACGATGGTGTAGCCCTTGCAGGCTCGCCACAGCATCCGCTCGAACGCCTCCACCTTGCCCTGGTGGATGAGGCCGGACACGAACCTGGGGGGAGAGCCGGGCAGTGAGGGCAGCGCCTCGCCAGCACCGCACACGCCGAGCGCTCATTCCGCCCGGGAAGGGGCGCGGGAAGCTCCGACTGCCGGCGCCCGCTATGCTGGACGCCCCCACACTGGGTGCCTCCCGTGCTGGGCACCCCCGTGCTGGGCGCCTCTCCCTCTCCCCCGCCCCCCACCATGCTGGACGCCCCCATGCTGGGTGAAAGACACTGAGCACCCCTCCCAGTGCAGAGCTGAGCCTGCAGCAGAGGCCTCCCAGGACAGAAGGCACAGGGCCTCGCACCCGCCCCACCTGCCCCCCAATCCTCCCCCCTCCCCCCCACTCCCCCCTCCCGCTCCCCCGGGCTCTGCGTGCCCAGCACCCCAGGCTGGAGTCTCTGTGCTCACGGGGGAGAGGGGAGGGCCCTGCATCTCCGTCAGGTGAGGAGGAGAAACTGGTCGCCCCAAACCTCCTCCCTTAAGCTGGCTCCCCAAAGGGCTCCCTGAGGGAGTGGGCCGACGGGCACCCTGCAAAGGAGCCCCGAGTGCGTGTCTGCCCCTCAGTCCCGGGGGAAGGGGCCCGCCTCTCCCTCGCCTAAACGGCACTCATTCCTCCCGCTCGCTCACGGCGATGGGACGTCCGTCCGCCCCCACGGGCTCGCCTCCCCACAGGGCGGCAGGGCCCCGCTGCACCTACCCCAGCTTGGCGCCCAGCCTCTGCAGGGAGCTGTAGTCCAGCAGGGAGTCACTGTCCAGGGAGGGGAACTCCTCATAGGAGGGCTCAAACTGCGAGAGAGGGCCACGGCGTCTCGTGAGGAGGGTCCCCGCGTCCGTTCCCAGCACCACTTCAGGGCGTCACTGCCACGTGGATCCGGGGCCACGGCCCCAGGTAACTCAGACAGGAAGCTCCGGGCCACACTCACAGGAACGGAGTGGAGTCTGGCCCTCGGTCCCGGGGCGGACCGTGCAGAGCCACAGCGGTGGGAGCGGGAGGGGCAGGCGCGCAGGGAGCCGCGGGGCCTGCGCTTGGTTCTTGTCGCGCGCGTGGTGGGCCTCACCCCTTCCCTCTCAGCAATTTGGTAAAATCTAGGTTTTAGACCTGAAGGGCCTGTTCCGTTCTTTCTCACAGTCATAGATTTTTTTCCAACTGCAAACTAAAGCACTGCACAAGCAGGAGGCGTCGCTTGTAACCTGCGGCCGGAGCAGAGGGCGAGGCCGGGCAGGGGCGGTGGGGAGGGCCAATGGGGAGACACGGGGCCTCAGTGATGCTTCCAACAATAAAGACAAACGGAAAACAAACAACAAAACCAGCAGGAGCTACTGTTACTGCTCAGACTGCCAACCAGGAGAAGGCTCCCAGCTTTTCTCGGGTGGGACCGCCCACTGGAAGTGAGGCTGAGCCCACGCATCTCCCGGGAAAGCACGTCGCCGGCAGGAACGCGCAGGAGTGCCGACCCCACTGAGACCCGGGGCCCAAGACCGTCACGGACACCGGCCCCCGGCGAGGCCCCACCTCCACGCCGCGATGCACGAAGGCCTTGGTGACGCGCAGCATGTGCGTGTACTCGATCAGCTCCAGCAGGTTCCTCCGCAGCTTCTCCTTGTTCCCCGTGACCTCCCTCAGCTCCACCTCCAGCTTCTGCAGCTGCTCCTGCAATGATCGCAGCCGCTCAGGGCCGCCCCGAGCCCCTTCCAGGAACCCTCCCCGCCCTCCCCGCCCCCCACGGAGCTTTTAAAAAGCCGGAGTCGAGCCAGGCCACAGGATGACGCCGCCCGCTGAGCCACACGGCCAGGTCGCCAACGGCCATCTGGGCAGCGTCCTCTGGCTCCGAGGGGACAGGCAGGCGAGCCCAGGCAGCGGTGAGCAGGCAGCAGCCTGAGGGGGGCGTTACCTGCATCTCCAGAACCTGCTTCAACGGCGGGGCCGGGGGGCTGGTCTCGCCCTCGGGCAGCGGGATGTCCGCTCGGTGAATCTCCTGCGCCAGGTACGCTGTGGGGCCAACGGGCGGCAGTGAGACCACCCCGAGCCTGGGACACGCAGGTCGGACCCTTCCCATCCCCACTCCCTGCGTCTGACGCCCAATGTCCGGTTCCCACGGACACGAGGCCCCTGCTGCGAGGTCTCTCCAAAGGGGCGCCGCCCGACAGAGCAGCAGGAGGGGGACAGGGTGGCCCGGCAGCCGTGGACGTGAAGCCCGATGTTTACAGGTGCAAGAGGCAGGTGCGGGGAACGCCCGCCTACATGGCCGCTGGCCTCTGACGGGAGCCCGGCCCCTGCCTCCTTCTCCCTCCACCTCTCCGCCCAGTGAACGGGCTGCTCACGCAGAAAGGGGTGTGGGGGTCCCTCAGAGAGCTCACCCAGGATTCGCTCCAGCTCCTCGCACCGCTTCACCTCACCGACGAACTTTCTTTGGAAAGAACTCACGTTCTGGTTGAGCTGAGAAAAGAACAAAAAATGCTCTTTCAACACCTACAACTGGACAAGGTCTTAGACGTTACAGTGTCATGTCTAAGGAAGGGCCTGGGCACAGCGCCCCCTGGTGGAGCCCCACGGCCACACGGCTCTGGAAAGGCATCTGGCAACCGTTAGCAAAAACGGGACAGATACCCTCTAGCCGGAAAACAGCCCCTGCAGAAAGCTAACCCAGCCAGCACTGCGGGTCCGGATCCGGATCCGGATGGAGATTTCTGGAAGAAACCAGCACCCGGGCTCCAGAGCGGCACTGACAACAGGAAGTGGGCTGAAGACACTACCGTCTGCACCCGCCCGTGGGCTCCCACTCGGCAAGGAAGAGGGACGAGCTGCTGACACAGCAAACGTCACGGGGCTCTGGGGAGGGCAGGAGGCGGCACACTGTGCAGCCCGTTCCTAGGAAGCGAGCCGGGAAGGTGAGCCCGGGCGGAGGCGGCGAGGGAGCCACGGACCACGTGAGGCCGCAGGCTGGGATCCCTCCCCGGCAGGACGCTTCCTAAGAGTCAGCGAATGTGCGCTGGGAACGGGGCAATTTCGTGGCATATGTCAATTGAGTAGTAGAGCCCTGACCGGTGTGGCTCAGTGGATAGGGCGTCAGTCTGCGGTCGGAAGGGTCCCGGGTTCGATGCTGTCAGGGGCATGTACCTTGGTTGCGGGCACATCCCCTGTGCGGGGTGTGCAGGAAGCAGCTGATCGATGTTTCTCTCTCATCCGTGTTTCTAACTCTATCCCTCTCCCTTCCTCTGTAAAATATCAATAAAATGCATTTTTAAAAATAAAATAAAGAATAAAGAGCTCAGGTAAAACAATGACACTGAGGTTATGGTTGTTAAGTGTCCTCGCCTTTTACAGACACTGAAATATTTACACACGAGATGTCACACCTGAGATCTGCCTCCCCAGGTTCTCGGGGGGCCGGGGCCGGGGGGCTGGAATGAGTGAGTGGCCCGAGTTTACAGTGGGGGACACGGCGTTCTCCGTTCCCACACACTTCCCTCAACTGCACTTCTAACGCGAAGCTCCAAGCCACGTGCCATGTTGTAAAAGATTAGTAAGTTCAGGACATGATTTGTGTGTGAAAAGATTAGCGGTATTCCCAGTGCGGTTTCAATTATATAAATATACATATGCATTTTTTAAATGTATTTTATTTTGTACAGAGAGGAAGGGAGAGAGATAGAGAGCTAGAAACATCGATAAGAGAGAGAATCATCGACCAGCTGCCTCTTGCACATTCCCTACTGAGGATGTGCCCGCAACCCAGGTACGTGCCCCTTGACCGGAATCGAACCTGGGACCTTTCAGTCCGCAGGCCGACGCTCTACCACTGAGCCAAACCGGTTTGGGCCACATATGCATTTTTAATTGTTATTTTAAAAAGAATGGTTGGCCACTATTAACCAGAAAGTTATAGAGTTTATTTCTAGGTACTGGGATCATAGAAGTTTATTCTTTTATTTTCCAAATGTCCCACAATATACTTTTCCCTCCACGTGTATCACGTTTATAATTTAAAAATGACTGACACCTGGCTGCCCTTCGGCAGGAGGGGGGCCTGAGGGGGGCTGTGGGGCAGGTGGGCATCCCGCCGCCCCCGCAGGCCCCGCCCTCCGGAGTGACGTCAGCAGACCCGGTGCTATTGGCGGTTGGGGGGGGGGGAGATGGAGGTGGAGGGCCCCCCTGGTGTCTGCACCCCCCTGTCTGAGGGTCACCCCCCAGACTGAGCACCCGGGCCGAGGGACAGGCTGGGCCGGGCTCAGGCGTCCCCGGGGCTGCGGGGGAGGCCGAGGGTGCGAGCGCCGAGTGGGGCCCAGGGGTGCGCTGCCAGCGCCGGGACTCAGACCAGGCGGCGCCGGCAGAGCCCGGTGGCCGGTGTGCAGAGCCGAGTCAGTCCCACGTCGGGCCTCTCAGGGCCTCTGGCCACTGCGTCCCGTCGCCCCTCGGTCACCGCTGCAGGGGCTGCGCCCGCCCATGGCTTCCCGGGGGACTGGGCACAGGCCTGCGAGTGTGCGAGCGGGCGGACCGGAGTGGGCACTGCAAACAGCCCATCCGGGGCTCAAGGGGGCGGCCATGTGGACAGCTGCAGATGAGCACGTGATCAAGGGGCGGGGCCACGTGATCAGCCGTGAGCGAGCACGTGGTCAAGGGGCGGGGCCACGTGATCAGCCTTAAGTGAGCACCTAGATGGAGGAGGGCCCGGATGCAGCCAGGGGCCCCCAGAAGCTGAAGAGGCAGGAAGGACCCTCCCCTGCAGCCCTCTCGGGAGCACAGCCCAGACGCCCTGATCCAGGTTCTGGCCCGGAGCGGGGAGGAGCGGGGCGGCGTGGAGGGGTCAATGGGAGGGGAAAGGGACACCTGTAGTACTTACAACAGTAAATTGTTTTTTTAAAAAATCACAGCCCAGCCGGTGTGGCTCAGTGGCTGAACGCCGACCTACAAACTACAAGTTTTCCGTTCAGAATTCTTGCGACTGTGACCAAGTCAGCAGCGCGGCATGGAGTCTACCCGAAGGTTCAGTTCGTGTGCAGTGTGCGGAGTTACTTTTTAAAAAATTATCCTCAAGGAAGACAAATCCCACTCGTTTCCGGAACTCACGCTGACCTGACGTAACCCTCTCCAGCTGCTGGCGATTCGGACACCATCGGTCCCCACAGGACTGTGTCAAAGGGGAGCCAGGCCCCAAGCCGCCCGCCAACCACACGCTGCGGGCTTCGCTGCTTCCTTCCTCCCCGCGCAGAGCACTCCGGACCCTGCGGCCTAGGGCGGCCCCAGGAAGAGGCCGGCCCGGCCCTGAGCACAGATCGGGGCGGACGCCCGGCCTCACCGTCTCACAGGTGCTAGCTCTGTGCTTCCTGTTACGCGGCTCCCTCTGCAAAGTGTCCTTTCTCTTTTCTTTCTGGGAGGCAGCACGCCCTAACCCAGCCAGCGAGATGAAGGACATTTAAAGGTGGATTTCCGGGAAGACTGACATTTAACTCAGAAACCCGGCAGAGGGCCGGGCCAGCGTGGCTCAGGGGCTGACCGTCGACATATGAACCAGGAGGTCAGGGTTCGATTCCCGGTCAGGGCCCGTACCCAGTGGGAGACATACAGAGGGCAGTCGATCAGTGATTCTCACATGGCTGTTTCTCTCTATTCCTCTCCTTTCCTTGCTCTCTAAAACCTACAAAAAAAAAAAAAAAAAAAACCTCTAAAACCAACAAAAATCTCACCCTAACCGGTTTGGCTCAGTGGACAGAGCGTCGGCCTACGGACTCAAGGATCCCAGGTTCGATTCCAGTCAAGGGCATGTTACCTAGGTTGCAGGCACATCCCCAGTGGGGGGGGAGGGGGGGCGGGTGAGCAGGAGGCAGCTGATCGATGTTTCTCTCTCATCGATGTTTCTAACTCTCTCTCCCTCTCCCTTCCTTTCTGTAAAAAATCAAAATATATTTTTAAAAACCTCTAAAGCCAATAAAAATCTCTAAAACCAATAAAAACCAAAATAAAATAAAGTAAAACCAATTTAAAAAAAACACCTATAAAACAAAACAGGCAGAGGCTCCCAGCTGCTCTTTTTGCTCATCTCCCGGTGATGCAGTTGTGGGACTGCCTACAGGTGACAGCTGTCCTGAGACCTCAGACTGTGGCCAAGTTCAAGGCTCCACCTTCCCTGAGCCCCAGGTCTGGTAAAGAACCTTGCCTTTATCCAGGTCGGCTCAGGGCTGTCACCACGGAAACCCCGCCCCGCCTCCTTGCCCTGAGAAGGCCTGGGAAGTCAGAGGCCAGGGATCCAGCAGCCCAGAAAAGAGCAGGGAATGTGAGCCGGATGGAACTTTCTGCACCAGCATCCACGCTGCTGGAGGGCCGCCCGGAGACAGACACACACACACCCCGGGTGCAGAAAACCAGCCCCACACGAGGAAGAGCCTTCGGTTTTGTTTCTCCTGGAAGAGAACCGCTCTTTCGCTTCCTCCCTCGGTCTCAGGTGGCAATGACACGGCGTGAAACTCGAATCTCCCGGAGACCGGGCATTTGTTCAAGCCTCTGAGATTGAAGCCTGATCCGCCCGGCCCGGGGACTCCCAGGCCGTGCAGGAGGGAGATGCTTCCTGAGTCCTGGCAGCGCAGCGCAGCTCTGCACCCGCCGGACAAGTGGGCACTGGGGGTACGGGGTGCAGGAGCCCGAGCGCCCCCGGAACCGGGCAGACGGGCCTGCCCTGCAGCCTCCCCCGGCCCTCGGGGTTTCTCCCCAGCCCGGCGGCATCAGCACGCGGGAGGGGCGTTTCCTTTGGAAGTGAAGGAACCCCCGAAAGATGAGGGGAACCCCCCGGAGAGGAAGGCTGTGGCCCAGGAAATCAAACACCCACCCCGGTGACTTCCCATCCCCACGGCCCGTCCCAGGTCCGGCTTCCCAGCTCCGGTCCACACCCCGCTCTCCCTATCGCCCTCTCCATCAGCGTGTGCGTCTCCTCCCAGGCCCGGCGCGGCCACACCAGGACCTTGTCCTCCTGGCTCCCACCCAGGCGGTCCCAGCACCAAGCCGGCATCTGGCACCGAGCACACACTCAGCCAAGTGCCAGTCACTCGGCAAACACCTATCGGTGCCTCCCAGCGCTGGGGCTGCTCCGAGTCTGGGGGACTCGGGAGGGGACCCGTGAGGAGAGGCCCTGACCCTCGGGGGCCAACAGGCGGAGCGTGAACAGAGGAGACACACAAGTAAACAGACCCGCAAACAAGCGCTCACTGTCCCTTGTCGGGGAGACTGCGTCCATTCAAACCAGTACTGACGGCGCTCCCGGTGCCGGCCAGACCATGGCCCATCTTCCCACCATCAGTGAACAAAACCCACACCAACCCCTCCCCTGGAGGAGCCCACGCCTCGCTCACGGCCCATTCAGGCTCTGGGTTCACCTGTCACCCGGTGCCCCAATATCTCCTCGGGCCAGGTCCTTCCTTCCCATCCGGTCTCGACCCAAATGCCACCTCCTCCAGGAAGCCCACCTTGACCACCGCCAGCCGAGCCACACCCTCAAGCCAACCCCCTTATTATTTCCTTTTCAGCAAAACATCTTCTTGTTTATGGACTTAACGTGCCCGATCTCTGTCCCCCGCCACCCCCATCCGTCCCAGATGGACTCGGGGGAGAGAGGCCCGGTCGGAGGTGCTCGCCCGCCCTGCCCGGCGCCGGGTGGAGCTGAGGAGGGCCTCTCGGGGCGCTCGCCGCTCACTAGGTCGGGACCCTGGGCGCGGCCTCAGTTTCCCCGCCTGGGAAATGGGGGCAGCGGCGCGCCCCGGGGCCCCGCGCGGGCGGAAGGGAGGCCCGAGTCTCCGGGCGACACTCACGTCTCGGAACTGGACCAGGCCCTGCTCGCCCAGCGCGCTCAGGCACTCGTAGGCCGTGCCCGACTGCAGGAAGAGCTGCGCCAGGCACATGGGCTCGCTCCGGAACAGGGACCCCATGGCGGCGAGCGGCCCGCGCCCGGCGGGGCCCGACGGGCGGCACCGGGGCTCCGGGCGGCGCGGGCCCGCGCGGTCAGCCGGGGCGGCCCAGGCCTCGGGCTCCTGCTGCGGCCTGGCCGCGGCGCCGCACCATCGGGCTCCGGGCAGCTGCGCCGCCCCCGGTCCTGCCCCCGCGGCCGCCGCTCCGGCCGCGCCGCCGCCACCGCCACCGAGCCAGGCCCCGCCCACCGCCCTAGCCACTTCCGGTCCCGGCCCCTCCCCAGCGGGTGGCCAATGGCGCTTGGAGTTTCGGCGTGCGACGGCGCCGAGCAGCCAATCAGCGCACACCCTGCGGGGAACGCGGGTGCTCTCGACGCCCCGCCGGACGCGGACGGAACGCGGCCGCCCGCCCGCCCGCCGCCTGAAGCTGGAAGACGAGAGTCTGGGGGTGCGCGCCGCGTCCCCCGATCCCCGACCCGGGCCCCGACCCGCGCTCTCGGTCACGTCGCTGTGCAGCTTCTCGGGCGATGTTGGGGCATCAACCCCGCGGGAAGTCCCTTCCCGTCCCCGCGGCCCTTTGTCTCCGAGGGTCTCCCCGTTTCCGGACACTTGACGCCGCGGAGCCACACGGGCGGCCGTGGTGCTGGCCGGCGGCGGGCTTTCCCTCTGGACCCGGTCCCCGTGCAGACCAGGAGGCAGGCTCCGGCACCGGGTGACCTGATGCGGGGCCCGGACCTGGGGCGCCTCCCCCTGCACCCCCGACTTCTCCCGTGGAGAGAGACCCGGAGACCCGCGGGATCGTGTCCTGAAAAAAATGCATATACACGTGTTGGATAATTATAAAGGCGGTGTTTATTAAAGTACATTTCATTTTCAGAATTGACCTATCAGCTGTTAAAGTGTGTACACATTTTCGGGGACTCTGTATATAAAAAGTTGAAGAAATAATTGATTCTCTAAGGTATAAATAACATATTTGGACCGCAGCTCCTAGGACCTGAGTGAAGTGAGATAAACTAACGCTTCCGGTAGCCGGGAGGCAGGCCGGACCCCGTGCCTGTTGCTCCGTCTGGTCCGGCAGCGAGACACCCGTCTGGAGAGCCCGCGGAGGAATGAAACCCACCAGGCGCTTGGCCAGCGTTTCCTGCAGAACAAAACCCTCCGTCTGGGAGCTGGACGCGGAGCAGCAGATCCGGGGGTGCCCGTAGTCTGAGGGCCGGTGGCGGAAGGTCAGGCTCTGCGTGCTCTGGTCCAGGGGTCGCTGAGGAGCATGGCCACCACGGAGAAGGCGGCCAGCAGCAGGCCCTTGGCCACGCACCGGGCATACGGCTCCCCTGCAAGAGGAGAGGCGAGTCAGCGACACCTTCCTTCTCCACTTCCTGTAATTACTTAGATGGCAACAAGCCAAACCACCAACAACCGTTTTTTCATTGGTTTTTAGAGAAGAAGTGAGAGAGAGAAACATCGATGCGAGAGTAAAACATCCATCGGGGACCGAGCCCGCCAGCCGGGCATGTGCCTGACCCGGAATCGAACCAGCAACCTCTCGGCGCTCAGGACGCTGCCTGACCAACTGAGCCACACCGGCAGGGCCACAGCGGTGATTAAGTGCAATGTGGCTAGTATGTTTTCCTTTCTAACCCGTGCACAGGCCACGATGGCTGCCCACCTCGGTAGTGCCGGGTCCAGGGGTACAGGAGCTGCGGCCAGCACACGTCGTTCCTGTCACAGTCGGACTCCGTGGAGTTCACCTGGAACCTAGAAAACGTTCAGAAGATTGCAGTCGCTGCCACAAAGCACACTTTTGGTGAGAAGTAGCAAAGCTGGTTGAAGAACTATGCTTATTTTCAAAGACCTCCATTTTTCTGCTCCCTAAAAACCACGCACCGGGTCGGCGCCCTACCTGGTCAGCGGCCGGGGTCGCCGGGCAGGGACCTGAATGAACTGCACAGAGGCGCTGAGGGCGAAGAGGCCGGCCTGCTCACAGGTCAGCCCGCACTGGGGCCGCCAGGCCACCGAGGCCACCCTGCGGGGAGAGGGCACAGGTGGCACGCCGGCTCGCTCGTCACCTGAGGACACCAGGTGACCGACAGCGACGTGACCGGGAGTCTCTCAAAGACCTAGCCCTGCTGGCCGGCGGGGCTCAGGGGCTGAGCATCGACCTAAGGACCAGGAGGTCAGGGTTCGATCCTCGGTCAGGGCACAATCCCCGGTCAGGGCACAGGCCCAGGTTGTGGGCTCAATCCCCAGTGGGGGGAGTGCAGGAGGCAGCCGGTTCATGATTCTCATCATCAATGTGTTTTTTTTTTCCCTTCTCCCTTCCTCTCTGAAATCAATAAAAACATATTTTTAAAAAGTTACCCCGTTTTACTATGTGAGAGTTCAGATGTACTCGCAAGAAGCCGTTACACACAGCTATTGCCATGACAACGCTGGGACACATGTCCCTTTTCCCACCCGTGGCCAACAACGCGACTTGCACGTAAGCTCTCGGCAGAGGCCGGCGTGGCGTGTCCGTCCCGGGCGCCCTCCCCGCTCCCGCCTCGGAGCCGCATGGGCAGCCTCACCTCTTCTCGGCGCCCAGGATCTCCTGCTGGGGGACCCCCTCCACCGCGCCGGCCTCCCAGGTGAGGATGCGGACCTGCAGCCGGGCAGGGACCTCCTCGCAGACGCCATTCCCGCGGCCGCCAGCCGGGCCTGCGCCTGGGTCCCGGGCTGCTGCATTGGGGAAGAAAAGTAACGGTTTTTCTACAATCCCCGGATGCCGTAAAAACGGGAAATATCAGACAGGAAGCGCGTGAATGAGGCTTCCCTCTCTAAGGGGCTCCTATATGTCATCCCATGACAGTAGTACCCCTTGTGTTCGAGAAGTTTCCGTATATGTCATCAGCACAGGAATTTTGGAACCCCAGGCCCACGTAACCACACGAGAAATCATGATTGGGTTGCGGTCCTCACTGAGTTCTCACAGAGGCCGCCTCACTGCGGTGAAACCTCGGAGCTGGTGGGTGAGAGTCCGGCCGGCTGGGCTGCGGGACCTCAGGGCAGTGAGGCAGCCCGGACGGTGTGGCCCAGGCGCTTTGGGGCGTGGGTTTGATTCCCGGGGAAAGGCGGGCGCCTGGGGTGCAGGTTTGATTCCGGCCCCGGTCAGTGTGACCCGACAGAGTCCTGTGTTCATGAGCAGTCACCCTCACTGCCTCCCACCGCCCCGCCGGCCACCCGCGGCCACTGATCTGCTTTTGGTCTCCAGTTCCGGTCGCTGCTCAAGGTTAGGGGAAGGGCTCCGACAGGGCAGGCACTGGTTCCCTTAGCAGCATGTCTTCTGTCACCTTTTCTTAAGTCAAAAAGGCAGGTCTCAACTGCCCATGTTCCTGGGACCAAAAACAATGCAAACTCCCCCCCACTCCACTTCCTACAGACACTGTTGGCTCTTAACGCCGAGGGGCAAGTTGACCTTCGTGCGGATTTCCTTCTTCAGAAACAAAAAGGCAGCAGGAGTAAGAGAGGAGGAGTGCTAACCCCAACATGTCAGAGAGCCATAGCAGAGACAGCGGGCCGGCTGGAGGGCTCACAGTCCAGCCGCCTCGCCCTCCATGCCCGGGGCAGCCCCCACTCACCGACGATCTCCAGCCAGCCGTCGCTGCGGTCCCCGTAATCCGAGTTGCCTCTCGCTGCCACGTGAGTCGCTGGTATTAATGAATCGAGGATTCCCGCCGCCTTGTCCCTGCGAGAGAGCAAGACCTTTCCCAGCGTGTGGCCGGCAGCTGGTCTCATCCCCAAGTCCTGCCTCTCGGGTCTCCAGGCCATGGCGGGAGGGGTGGAGAGGGGGGAGGCGGCACTCACCGGAGCTGAGTGCAGTTCTCGTCGATGCCCACCTCCAAGAGGCACCCCGAGAGCACATTTTCTCCAAATAAGACGGGTCTGAGGGGCGCCGATGAGCACAGACCCCTCCCGGCTGTGAAAAAAGGAGTCAGCCTCCTACTACCCGAGCTAACCAAAAGGAAAGATCCGCTACAAAGCTCTCCTTGAGCCTGGCCAGTGTGCTCAGTGGGTTGAGCGTTGTCCTAGGCACCAAAAGGTTGCCAGCTGGATTCCCGGCCAGGGCACAGGCCCGGGTTGGGGGATCCATCCCCAGTGGGGGTCGTGCAGGAAGCAGCCGGTCCATGATTCTCACTGTTGTTTCTCTTCCTCAAATCAATGAAACTATTTTTTAAAGTTTTTCTTGAGACACAGAGGGAAAGCGACAAGCAGAGCGAGTCTTCGTGCTGAGGAGACTCGGTCCCCCAGGCTGAGCCGGCGCCTCCAGAGACACTAGGGCCAGCTCATTCCACCGGGAAAGCGGTGCCTGATTGGGACAAAGCTCTTGTCTCCACCTCGGGCTCCCCGCCAGCCCCACGTGTCACTCTCTTACTGATGCCCAACACCTCGGGCACAAACCACGTGACCATCTTAACGACGAAGCAGGAGAAACCCCTCCCCTGCGGCTAAGTGAACAGCTGAACCCAGTCACCGGCACTGGCTCCATCCCAAACGGGGCACAGGACTCCCCCCAGCAGGTTACCTGGCTGCCAGAGGCTCAGGGCCGCCGCGGGGTCGCTCCTGCCGGCATGGAGGGCGCGCACGGGCCTGCCCAGCTGGTAACCTGGATGCACAGCAAGCGGGGTCAGGCGAGGCCAGCGCAGCCGCCGGCAGCCGGGAACACGGGGGAAGCACGGGGGACAGCCGGCGGGCTGCGGCCTTCACTGTCCTGGCGAAGATGCTCGCTGACTCGGAGATAAATGTGAGATCGGGAAGGGGACGAGCGGCAGGTGCCCGTGTGGGGTCGCTGAGCCGCCTGCTCAGCGGGTCCTGGTGAGTGACGGGCGTGGGGCTCATGGGGGGGGGGGGTTGGTAAAGCAGGAGCAAGCCAAGGAGCCCCCCACTCCCCAGCAGGTCAGCTCAACCCAGGTCGGGCCAGGGCCCACTCCCAGCGAGAAGAGACAGGCGGATCACCAGCTCACACAATCCCTGACGCCTCGGGCCGGGGTGTTGGCCGGAACGCTTGTGAGGTGGGCGGCTGGCGTGTACTCTCACCTGGGTTCCCAGACCTCTCCTCCCCGGGGCCGCTGTTATGGCTCAAAAACCTCACTGTAAACCGCTGCGTCAGGGTTCCTGGAGAGAAAACAAATGGAACGAGCGCCCGTCTTTCCCCGGCAGCTGCACTCTGACGTGTAAACAAGCCGCCCTCTTACGTCACATCGCACACACCAACAAGCCGGCCTGTGTCTGATTGCTCTGGTGACGGAATCTCAAAGCGGGGAAAGCACCCACTGACCAGGAGAGCCGCCTCGCTGCCTCCCCGTACCTGTCTGGTGGGCGTGGAGCCTCGCCCTGACGATCCTGACGTGCACTTCGCTGATGGTGCGATTGTTCCACCGGAAGAGGTAATGTCCCTCCACAGTCACGTTCCTGGGGGCCGATCCGGGAGGTAGCAGTGTTTCTGCGAAGGAAAGAACACGTTTACCGGGGATCCGATCCTGCGGCGTGGCTCGCAGCGCCAGGACACGCTGGCGAGATGTTGGTTAAAGGAGAGGCTAGAGTGGCAGCGCCGTCAGCGGGCGGCTGCCGCGCTCCCTGCCGCGCTGTGGCCACCCCACCGAGCTCGTGCAGGAAGAAGTGAAAGCAAGAAGTGAAAATGGTCCTCAAAAATGACATAAACACGTGACCCTGAGTACCTGTGCCCGTGACGACCTGGCCCGGGGCAGCTGCCTCCTCGTAGGTCACGTGCGGGATGACGACGCCTGAGAGAGACGGGGATTAATGTCCACGGGCGCCGGGCCTGGCGGGGCCGTGTGGACGGGAAGTGAAAGCCTGTCCCGCAGGTGTGGGCCCTGCTTGGCTGGGTCTGTGTGCCAACCACACCTCTCCCACCCCGAACACCACCGAGTAGGAACCCCGTGGCCGGCCCCATTACACTGAGGAGGGTCGGCGACAAGGTCTGGAAAGAGACTGTCAGAAGAGCCACGCATGGCACACGGCACACTGCACACTGCCAGGAGTGGGCACGGGCAGCCCCTTTAGAAAGCAGCTTGGTTAGGGGACCGCACGACCCCGCGATCCCACCGCAGGTATCCCAGAAATGGGAACGTGCCCGGCCGCCTGGCTCAGAGGCTGAGCACCAACCTAGGAACCAGGAGGTCACGGTTCGATTCCTGGTCAGGGCACAGGCCCAGGGTTTCCGGCTCCATCCCCAGTGGGGGGCATGCAGGAGGCAGCTGATCCGTGATTCTCTCTCCTCGTTGGTGTTTCTCTCTCCCTCCCTCTCCCTTCTTCTCTGAGGTCAATAAAAATATATTTCAAAAAATAAAATAAAATAAAATAAGCCACTTCCTCAATGGGAGTTAAGTGTTTCCAGTCGCTGCAGATGGGCACTGCAGTTCTCAGGCGATGAGCGATGACCTGGCCCTGGGGCCTGTGCTCAGTCCGGCCGCCGCGCCTACCTCCCACGGTGCCCGCCTTTATGCCAGCGTCCGGGGCGCTGCCTGGTTCCTGGTAGGCGTCCAGGTCAGTAACGCAGCGAACGTCGAAGTTCTGCAGGAATCCCACCGGGGCGTCCCGCACACACTGCCCGGCCAGGGTCACCTGCGGGCGAGGGGACACCCTGCACTTAGCACCGGCTGATCAGCAAACACAGGCGACTTCCGAAGAGGGTCTCCCCGCAGCCCCCGCGCCCACTGCTGGGGGCGCTGGGCTTGCCCCCCACCCTCCCGCCTCGCTGGCTGACCCTCTAGACCAGTGGACCAGTGCTTCCCAAACTTCTCTCAGGATGAGACTCACCTGGTGGAGTTGTTAAACTACAGATTCCTGAATCCCAACTAAGTTAAGTATACGATTTTACCTCTATGTTCCCAAAAATTCTAGTTTAGCGCTTCTTAGTTGGGATTCAGGAATCTGTAGTTTAACAACTCCACCAGGTGAGTCTCATCCTGAGAGAAGTTTGGGAAACACTGGTCTAGACCAACCAAGGGCCACCTGCTCGTCAGCCATCACAGCGAGAACCTTTCCGAGGAGACAGCTGATCGATGGGAAGAATAAGCCGCCGAGGGGGTGTTTTTAGAGCAAAACGTGTTAAATTAAAAACCGGAGGAGACGGAGAAAAGGCTGCCGCACGTCCCGCTGGGACTGTTACCTGAGGGACAGTGAGATAGGCCTGAGCGGCAGTCATCACGGGGTCTCCCTGTTTGTACCCCAAGTCAGACATGTCCTTCGGGTCAGCGTGCAGGTACGGGGCAAAGGTGGTGGGCTGCCCCGAGGACCTGGAAGTCAACGAGAAAGACCCTCACTGACTGACACTGTCAGCTCTTACCTGCCGAGCGCACGTATTCTTTCTTACGCAGAGGAAGGGAGAGGGACAGAGTTAGAAACATGGGTCAGCTCCCTCTGCAGCGCCCTCCCCAGCCCCAGGGACACTCACACGGCCCCGTGGTGGAAGTAGCCCAGGAAGGGCGAGTTGGCGGGCGAGGACTGCACGCACAGGAACGGGAACCAGCCGGGGGCCCCGGGCGCCCCCCGTGCGGAGCAGAGCTGGTCAAAAGGCGGGCTGACGTCCCCTCCAAACACGCCAGCGAGACAGGCCCCCCGGAAGAGCTGGGCGGCATCAGGGGAGCATTCCTGGAAGGAAGGAAGGAAGGGAGGAAGGGAGGAAAGGAGGGAGGAAGGGAAGGAGGGAGGAAGGGAGGGAGGGAGGAAGGGAGGGAGGGAAGGAAGGAAGGTAGGTGCAGGGGCGCCGGGAGGTCACAGGTCTGAGTCCCTGTCGGGGAACGTGCCTGGGCCTCAGACTCCATGCCCCTGATGTTGATGTTGCTCCCCCATGTTCCTCCCTCTCCCCCTCTCCCTTCCCCTCTCTCTCTGAAATCAGTGAGAACTGTTTGAAAAAAGGAGAAGAGTACTCAGCGCACCTGGTCACAGCAGCAGCGCACGTCGCAGGCGCCGGCCGTGAGGTTGCAGGGGCACGGGCCCAGCGGCTGGTGCACCTGGTCGGGGATGGCGGTCACGTTCTCTGCGAGGAACACCGGAGCTCAGCTAGAACGCCCCCGACCAAGCCTGCCACGCCCCTGACGCTGACCACCAGGCCGAGTCCCGTCCCCCAGACCCCGTTCCCACCGCCACGGACAGGAGCCATGCCGGGAGCTATGCATCAGACACAGGGAAACCCAAACACCAGGAAATAGGCAAAGCGGACCCTGGACGTGAGCACCCATTCCGCCCTTAGCACACGGCCGTCACGTGACAGGGAGAACACAAAACCACCTCCTCCCGATGCGTGCTGTCAGCACCAGCCACCCCAGCGAAAGCTGGAAATGGCTTGGGCGCCCTCACTGAGATCAGCTGAATGAAACCACGGTATATTCGCACAGGGCACTATTGACAGCTGCTCAAAAGAACGAGGCAAACTTAGGTGTATTCATATGGGTCAATCTCCAATTTGTATTTAAATTTGTTAACTAGTTATCATTGTGCTACTGTTTGATGACATCACCTCTAATATATTTTATTGATTTTTTACAGAGAGGAAGGGAGAGGGACAGAGAGTTAGAAACATCAACCAGCTGCCTCCTGCACAGGTCCTACTGGGGATGTACCCACAACCAAGGTACATGCCCTTGACGGGAACTGAACCTGGGACCCTTCAGTCCGCAGGCCGATGCTCTATCCACTGAGCCATACCGGTCAGGGGCATGCATTTTTTAGAAGGTATAGAACAGTGCCCTGGCCGGCGGGGCTCAGTTGGTTGGATCATCATCCCCAACACCTGTCAGGGAAGATACCCAGGTTGCGGGTTCAATCCCTGGTTGGGGCATGTACAGGAGGCAACCAGTCCATGTTTCTTTCTCACATCAACCTCTCTCTCCTCTCTTTCTTTCTCTCTAAAAAAGAAAATGTTTAAAAATCAATAAAAGGAGCCAAAACCGGTTTGGCTCAGTAGATAGAGCGTCGGCCTGAGGACTGAAAGGTCCCGGGTTCGATTCCGGTCAAGGGCATGTATCTTGGTTGTGGGCACATCCCCAGTAGGGGATATGCAAGAGGCAGCTAATCGATGACTCTCTCTCATCGATGTTTCTAACTCTCTATCCCTTTCTCTTCCTCTCTGTAAAAAAAAAAAATCAATAAAAGCATGTCCTTAGGTAGAGATTAAAAAGAGACTCCACTTGCCTGATGCACTCTGGGCCAGAGAGGAGTTGGCGTAGATTTCCACGTGGATGAGCAGGTGCGCTAAGCAGGCGGCGTGGTGCGATGCCGACACCAGGAGGGTTTGGACGATGCACGGGGCCTCCGGGAAGGGGCCGGTCCCGTTAGAGGAACAGGCTGGCGGGGCCCTCTTCAGCCTCACCGTCACGTCCCACGCGTTCTGGAAGGAAGCAGATCGCTGCCCTTTCCGCACCTGCCAGGGTGAGAACCCCTAACAGGAACACCACAGCGCCCGGGCCCCGGGGCACGGCTCAAACGGAGGACTGGATACAAAGAGGCCCCGTCCACCCAGGTTCCGCTCCACAGGCAAACCCGACTCCCCCTCTCCGGTTCCCGCAACAGAGAGCACCGTGTGCCAACCCGGAGAAAGCGCAACACAGGTCTGGACGTTCACGCGGTTTGTCTAGCTTACCATCCTAGCAGCGGGAGAGGAAAACACCGAAAAATAAATAAAATTTTTCAAAAAGGTACTGAAAACAGTACCTGGGGTGCAAAATCTGTCTTTTTCATCCTCTATAAGCCCTAGAATCGCCCTGGCTGGTGTTGCTCAGTGGATAGAGCGTTGGCCTGCAGACTGAAGGGTTCCGGGTTCAATTTCTGTCAATGGTCCCGCCCACAGCATCCAGGGTTGCAGAGTCGATCTCCAGTAGGGGGCGTGCAGGAGGCAGCCAATCAATCATTCTCTCTCATCATGGATGTTTATCTCTCTTTCTCCCTCTCTTTTCCTCTCTGAAATCAATAAAAATATATTAAAAATAAAAATAAGTAAACCCTAGAGTTGATGCCTTGCACGTTATCAGGCACTCCATCAAACGTTTACTAAATGGAAGGGGTGGCAGAGGTCGGTGGTTTGGAAAGCTTTGTGAGTCGCAGAATCACCGCAAAAAATGCACGCCCGCACGTGATTCACACACCATTTCCGAGGGCCCCTGCAGCTGGTCCAGGGACGCCCAGCCCCAGGGAGAGGCCCTCCGTCCGGGCAGGATGGGTGCCCGCCGGACCGCGGTATTTCCAGCGGGAGGCAGTCCCAGGAAGAAGGCACTACACGCGGGTCCCGCGGCTCCCACGGGGCAGGTCACACCTCCGGCCTTACCACACTGGGGGTCACCGTCAGACTCCAGTCTCCCGTGTCGTTGTTCCGCTCGCCACACGTGGGAACGGGCAGGGATCCTGCAGGAGGCAGAAGGCAGGGCGGCACTGGCCACGGCTAAGGGGGTGCCCTCGCTGGCATGGAATCCCCCGCCAGGCCCGGGCAGGCCCTTTGCAAGCTGTAGGCCTCCGGGCAAGGGACCAGCCCTCTGCACCTCAGCATCGCCCCGTCCCATGGGCTTAAAAAGCTACTGTCTTCATTCCGACAACGAGGGAGGTGAGTGCCAGGCATATGGCCGCGGGCTTTCTTGTGGGGTCGCCTCTGGTCCACATCAGCCCCATCCCCATCCCCATCCCGACTCCGCAGGGGACCCGGGGGCCCCTCCCCAGCTCCTCGGCCGGCCCGGACCCGGTCCAGCGCCCACCCTTCCCCGGACGGGCCGGACTTTACCCGCCTGGTCCTGCAGCAGCGACAGGGACACGGCCGCGTCCTCGGGGGCTCCGATCAGGGACGCGCTGGCCACCGGGCCGGACGCGCGGATGGAAGCGGGGAGGAAGCCTGGCGGAGGGAGGCACGGGGAGGGTCAGGCCGGCGGCCCGGCCCGACGCCCCCGCCCGCCCGCCGGGCAGGCCTTCCCCGGACCCACCCGGGTGCCCCCGCAGCGGCCTCGGCGCGCCCAGCAGGAGCAGGAGCCCCAAGAGCGGAGGGGCCGGCGGGGGCGAGCCCATGTCCGGGCCCTCGCCGGGCCGCCGCTCCGGACCGCGCCGCCTCAGGAGCCGGGCAGCGCCCGGAGGCCGCGCAGAGGCCCCGGTCTCCCCTCCACCGCCATCTTGTCAAGCGAACGCCGGGAGCTATGGCAACCACCAATCGGCCGCCGGCCTGCGGAGCGTCGCGTCGGGATTGGACCAGAGGCAGAGAGCCCGCCCCAGGCCCCGCCCACAGCACCCTGGCCCCGCCCACACACCTTGCCCTTTTGTATGTTGTCTGATACAGTCTGTTTTGGAAGGTCTCAACACCCCGAAAACAGACTGTATCAGACAACATACAAAAGGTTTTGCCCAGCCGAGACCGGTGTGGCCCAGTGGATAGAGCGTCGGCTTGGGGACTGAAGGATCCCGGGTTCGATTCCGGTCAAGGGCATGTACCTTGGTTGCGGGCACATCCCCGGTGAGGGGGTGCAAGAGGCAGCTGATCGATGACTCTCTCTCATCGATGTTTCTAACTATCTCTCTCCCTTCCTCTCTGTACAAAATCAATAAAATATATTTAAAAAAAAAAAAAGTTTTGCCCAGCATGAGGACAGGTGCAAAAGTAGCGGACATTAGCCGGGCAAAAAATGTAACAGTATTTTCACAAATAACTTTGGCAAGATTTAAAATTAAAAGTTCTTCAGAAATGAATAAAAATTTGATTTTTGACCAAATCCAGTTAACAAGTACACAGTTGAAGCAGAGTTGAATGAGCATGAAATAAACATTAAGAGAAAATAACTCAGGAAAATATTAAAGTTTAAATTATTTTATTACAAAAATTTATATAAAATAAACCATAAACATAACCATTAAAAATAAAACAAACAGAACTAAGACATGTATATAAAAACATTTCCAGTGAAAATTAAGAACCTTATCAAACTTCTTGAAATTGTCTTTTAGATATACAAGGCTTTCTTTCCTAGACTTAAAATAGGGATTTCCGTTACACTTAATGAGGCTATGAATATTAAATATTATTTTTTAAAAGACAGATTCTCAAACTCAAGAATTAACAAATACTTGCAAAGTTATCACAAAAATCTTTATGTAGTTAATAAAATCCTAAGTCCAGGATACAAAACCTATCTGAAATAATCTAACCAAACACCACAAGTTACTTAAATGAGACTGAGCTTCCTAGATGGTAGAGAAAATTTAAATCTCATTTATAGACAAGATTTGGATACACAATTTGTCAACATATTTTTTTGTTACCCCTTGGCAACATACCTTTAAAAACAAACCAAATCAGCCACTGTTCTTGAAAACCCTCCCCACACTATGCTGGAATTTAAAAGGACTTCTAATAACTTCAAGGTCACACGGAAAAGTAAGTTTTTTATTGCTGAAATTACAAATATTTTTTTCATTTGAACCGAAATTTTCAGTATTACATCTGAAGCTTCTAGAGATCAGTTCGCCAATATTGATACTTTTATTTCTTTTCCTTGGTGAAAAAAAACGGATCCAGTCTGCAGGTGACAACTATAAAGACTCCATCCTTCCCTGTGGTACCCCTCACAGCCCAGACATCAGCGTTCACAAATGATCTCTTCGCCCGATTGTTTTTGAAGAAGTTGCCACCAGGCTCCTGCACTCACTCGCCTGACTCTTTTAAATCATTTCGCAGTGAATCCGTGACAAACTATTGTCATTATTTGGGTATCGTCACACAAAGGAATAAGTAACTGCAAACATCTGAAGCTGAACCTCAAAGCAGACAACAAGGGTTTGAAAGAGGATCAAGGATGTAAGACGCTGCACGCTGATTAGCGCCATCGCTCCACTTTTCCTCAAACTGTTCCAATTCCACCTGAAACGCTTCCCAGTGAGAGGCTCTAAAGGCTACGACCAGTCAGGACAGGCTGGTGTGACACACGACTGTGTGACAGAACCCTCTGGAAGCATTCGAGGGCCTGGACTCTGCAGAGAAGGGCTTCCCGTACAGCATCCCCGCAGGTGAGGGTGATCTCAGGGCTGCACCCTGTGAGGAGCCGCCTCGAGAACTCTTACACGTGTCCCTACTTTCTCAGAGCCTCTTTATAAAGACTCCCGCCCCCGCGCCCCGCGCCTCCAGGCAGCGCTGGGAGACGGAGCGCTCCATCATCACACAGACGCTTTCAGCTTTTTTTTCTTGGCCTTCAGCACGGGAGGGAGGGAGATCTTAAAGGCCGTCCTGAAAGACACAGGGAGGAAGTCGCCCTGTAACGCGCTGACTCTGGCGCGGGAGGGGCGCAGCCACCCAACCCCAGGGAGACTTACTCGCAGGTCGTGCAGATGGGGCTGAAGTTGCAGAATACTGTGAAGGCAGAAAACAGAGAAAAGCCAGGCTGGCGGGAAACCGTACCGTGGAGCTAGCCTCCGGCCTCCCGCGACGCGGCGAGAGGGAACACCGCGGCCGGGAACTTACTGGACAAGCACACGGAGCACACGTAGCCGATCTCAATGAGGTTGCGGTGGCAGAAGCAGGCGGCCCGGTAGTCCACGTGGATCGGGGGCGGGAGGGTTAACTGAGATCTCTGGTCTTGATCAGGAAGAAAGAGCCACTGTAAGAGAATAAATTTAAAAACCTTTTTATTATTCATTCAGCAATCACCGAGCACCTCCCCAGACAGGCCCTGCTCCGCCAGCAGGCAGGAAAGCAGCATTCTGCACACGGCCTGCAGCTTTCAAAGACTATGGGAAGCCCCCTTCTCAGCTCCGTGACTACCACGTCCCCGCTTTCTTCCTTTCCTCCAATGACTGGCGCCCGCCATGCTGCGCCCATTCCTTCCCCAGGGCACGGCTCCTTACCAGCAAGTACTGCAGGAGGGAGGCCATCTGAGGCACCTTCAGGTAAAGTCCCCCCGTGATGTCACACGCCTGCAAGACACACAGCGCCCTGCCAGACCAGCTCGCACACCTGGAACCACCACCGCCAAGCATTCACCTAAAACGTACCTGCTGGAGGAGTCCCGAATCGGAGTCCAAGACACAGGCATCGATCAAAATGTTCTGAAATGGATGTTGTGGGAAATTACGGGAATGATAACAAGAATGACTGATTCACACTCAGAATCTATGTGCCGAGCTCTGCTCTTGAAACTTAGTGTCTAATATGCATAACCATGAGAGGCGGGTCTCCGATCAGCATCCTGCAGCCCAGGCCGGGGCCAGGCGTGGTCACAGAGCCGGCGAGGCAGTGGGGTCAGCCCTAGCTGGCCTGCCCCCAAGGCCCATGGTCTTTTCACTGCCTCACGTGGGCACTCCAGACGGAGAAGCGTATATGCAACTATGGCACGGAGATTATAACAGTTTTAACATATCAGAGAAAACGGCACGTATCAGTGACACTCCACAAGGCACAGAGACACACTGTACAGCCAGAGACTCTTGGCCTGGGTCCTCGGATGGCCGATGGGTCCATGAAGGCCCGGGAACTGCGTGAACCCTGCCTGAGTGCATGTCTGTCTGGGGCTCATCCTCACGGGCCAGGACTCCAATGACCGTATGAACCATGGAGTGCAGATCCCTCACCCATTCATTCATAAGGCTACTGAGTCAGACCGCCCTCACCAGGCCATCAGGAAAAGCAGTCAGTTCCCCGTTCCGAGCACCCGGAGAGGAGGGTGTCCGCGCACCTGCTTCTGCGCCGCGAAGATGACGTTCATGAAGTTCATGTACTGGAGGGCGCTGTCCGCCGCCGCCTTGATCACCTGCGGTCACAGCCGTCAGCGCCCGCCTCCCACGGGGGTCCCGCTGCTCTCACACAGCCTTTCCCACCGCCTCCCTCGCCGTCCTCAGGAAATGGCCCCCTCGGGGGAGACGAGACGGGAAACCCCCAAACCCCACCACCCCAGAGGCAGTCCTGGCGAACAGTCTCTGGAGAGCAGCTCCGGGCGGGCATGCCCTCACACCCGGCGCACACACCAGCGGGCAGTCCTCCCCGGTGAGCTGCCACCTCTTCTGGCCGACTTCGCCGTCTGATTTCCATTATTTACCCAAATCCCTGCGCAAGCCTCAGTGTAGGCAGTGGCCTTCGCACAGCTCCGGGACGAGCTCGGAAATCAGCAAGACCGCACATCCCACCCTGACCCTGACCCTGACCCTGACCCGGCGGATGACCACTGCCAGGGAGAGCGGCACTATTTCTCCCCTCGGTGACGCCACGTGACACAGACAGCAGCCAACCCCCAGCCGCCAGGGGCAGACACAACCAGAGTATTACCGTTAAAAGCCTTACCAGTACCCGGGTCTTCATCTCCTGGTTGTCTGCAGGAAGAAAAGGGCTGCAATGTAACTGAGTCTTAAGCGTGTTGTGAGGTTTCCTAACCAACCCAGCAGCCCACCAGTTACGGGGCGAGATGAGGCTCAGCCCCACAGGAAACGTAGGCGCCTACCTTTAACCTCCTTGTTCATCCTGTGGATGTCTGATTGTCTTCGCATTAAGGAATTTTAAAGTATCATTGACTTCATCAGTATTCATAGTGAACAAAAAATAATCCCAAATTTACTTAAATAAAACCCGCATCCCCAAACGGAGAGAGACCTGTTCACATAAAAACAAAGGACTGGAGGTCTCCAAAGTACCTCTGCCCCAGAAAATACAATGCGTGACCACACAGAGGAGGATACAGCACAGAGCTTTGGCCAGGGAGCCCGCCAGCAGGGTTTCTGTGTGCTGCCCCTTTATGTCGCCTGCGAATAGGAATGAGCAGCATTAAAAGGGGGATTTCCTGGCATTTTCTTCAATTAAAAACATTATTAAACCAAAGCATTCTTCTTCATGATGAAAATAATGCTTTCAACAAAATAAAAAGCATGTATTTCAGGGAAAGGGCATAAATAGAAGGAAAAGGGGCCCAAAAAGAGGGAAAGCAGACCCGCAGGACAGTCTTAGAAGCCAGAGCGTGCTTCCCGGAGCGGGGCAGCGCAGGGCGAGGCCGCGGGGGCAGGGAGAGGAGGCAGGTAAGGCCCCCAGGCCCACGTGCAACTCCGTTCGCAGAATAACAGCGGAGGGAAAAGCTCTCACTCGTGGTCATCAGGTCCTTGATCTCGTCCACGATGACTTCATTTGCCGCTGTCAGCAGCTCGTACTTCCCGTCTTTGCTCCCCGAGGGGTTATATTCCGAAGCGGGGTTGCCCGGGTCCCCGAAGAAGTCTCCGAGTCGCCCGTTCCTCCCAGGGTACAGGAACCGGCTGAAACGGCAGCGGGGAGGCTACTTACACCGGACGCAGCCCCCTCACTAGACGTGAGGGTGACCTTCCGCAGAGAAAACCCGCAAAAGCCACTTTAACTCTGGGGCACAAGATCTATAATAAATTCCATTTAAAAATCTACAGCCCTGGCTGGTGTGGCTCAGCGGATAGAGCGTAAGCCTGCGGACTAAAGTCCTGGGTTCAATTCCAGTCAAGGGCACATGCCTGGGTTTCAGGCTGCATCCTCAGTGGGGGGCATGCAGGAGGCAGCCGGTCAATGATTCTCTCTCATCACTGATGTTTCTCTCTCTCTCTCCTTCTCCCTTCCTCTCTGTAGACAGGTTTGTGCACCACTGTTCCTTCAGCCCAGCACCAGCTGGCGGAGCTGGTGTGGGTGAAGGGCCAATTGATAAGCACAATCCTTACTTATCAACACGGGAATCACACCCAGAGCCGAGGAGCAGTCCCACTGGGAGGGAGGCGTCCAGGAGCGGGGCTGGCTGAAGGGCAAGAGGAATCCCGGCGCTCTCCCGTCTGCGCCGCCCCGCAGACCCACCAGGAGAGCAGAGCCGGGGCTGCCGCCGTGGGTGATGCTCTCCGCCCCAGGACAAGGTGAGGTGTATGTTAGACGCGCACCCGACCAGCTCCCTGTCTCCCGGCCAGGAGGTTCCCTGTGCTCATTCATACCCTCAGGTGTGCGTGTCCGCTTCCTGATGTGTGAGTGCTGCTCAGAGATACAGACAAAAGTAACTGCAGCACACAGCAGGCACGGACACGCTAACGGCAGGGAATCCCGCCTGCCGCCCTACCTCTCCTGGATGTGGCTGGCGATCACGGCCAGCTTGTTGGCCCGGTTCATGAACAAGTGCGAGTTCCCCAGCACCATCACGGCGTCCATGCATTTCGACAGCGTGAACTGTTGGGAAAGGAAGACACCAGGAAGGCAAATTAGCTACACACACACACACACACACACACACACACACACACAAAATTAGCTACACACGCCCCTACACCAACTCTCTGAATCACTCCGCGTTCATTAACCATACTTGCAGGCAGAAGGATAAAATGCTGATTAAAGGGAACATGCAGGGCCGTGAGGTCTGCCAGGCCATGGAATGCTCTCAGCACCTAAAAGGCCTGAGCCACTGGGACAGTAACATGGACGCGGCTCAGAATTACTCCGCGGAATAAAGAAACCAGACCCAACTCCCCCCAGTGCACACAGTTTGGTCTATTTGTAGAGCCTGGAAAACGCAAACTGAAGTAACAGAAAGCAGAGCAGCCGGTGCCTGAGGGTGGGGACAGGCAGAGAGGGGGTGAGGGGAGGGGGTGGATGACAAAGGCGCAGGAAGACACTTTCTGGGCTGAGGGATCTACAGGCCCCTCGTGGTGACTGTAGCGATAACCTCAGGAATGTGGACATGTGTGGAAACACATCAAACGGAACACTTTAAAGACAGCTCATTGTATGTCATTCTATCCCCATAAAGCTGTTTTTAAAAAGACACCATTAAGCAAATGAAGAGACACCACAAAGTCACAAGCCAAGAAAAAATATTTGAAAATCATATATTCATTAAAGGACTTGTGTCCAGAATATGTAAAGCCTTCTCAGCCCACAACCCTCAATCCTTAGGTGGGGACTAAAAAAAGTAAAAGCACAGAACTGTGGTCATGATTACACAGCTCTCCTGTGGAATTTACTAAAAATCAACCAATTGTGCATTAAAATGGCTGCATTTTATGGTACAAAAATACCTTACTCAAGCTATTTTTTTTTAAAGCAATATAAACACATACTCAGTTAAACTAGAATTAGCCAAAGGCCCCGTCCAGCAATCTTACCTGGGATTCCTTTAACGCTTGCTTTCCCCACCAAATTGGGTTGACATCAACTATAATCACTAGGAGATTCAATTCATCTTCTGAAAATATTAACAAAAAAAAACCAAAAAACATGAGCCTCATGAAAGTGAAAGGCTAACAGTCTACATGCCTGTGATCTGACAATCCTGAGACTAACAGAAGGCCAAGTTCTCTCAAACATTTAAAGCTCCGTGGCCCCGAGCAAGCCCTCGCCTGCTCTGGCCACACAACAGCCTCTCACGTCAGCTCCAGGGGGGTGGTCTGTTTTGTCACTATTATCTCCTGTTCCTCACCTGCTGCACAGCCATACAGGGTGTGTGATAAACATCAGACGGACCCAAAATATTTGCATTTTTGTTTATTTTTGAAAAACGTTTTTTCTTGGCTTTAGAGCAGTGGTCTCAACCTTCCTAATGAATGCCGCGACCCTTTAATACCATGGACCCCCAACCATAATATTATTTTCGTTGCTACTTCATAACCATTTGTGCTGCTGTTATGAATTGTAATGTAAATATCGGTGTTTTCCGATGGTCTTAGGCTCTACAACAGCGGTTCTCAACCTGTGGGTGGCTAGCAGGGTCTCCAATGACAGTTATACGACAGAGCATTTCACAATCAGCGCTGTTCCGGAGTGGATGAAATGTGGCGGTCCTGATTTTGCAAAGGAAAGGCGCCTGCTGGCCACCAGCCGGGCAGGTCTGGCTGCTCGGAGCCCCGCTGCCCAGCGCGGACCGCAGGGCTGACCCTCCTAACGGCGCTCCGGGCACGACCTCCCTTCACAGCTCCCTGTGCTCCGTTCTCATCGCTTCCCACGAGGCTGGGACTCCTTAGCGTCCCCGGGCACCGAGGGTGCATGCTCACTCCTCTCTCTGCAACCCCTGCGCTGCCTGGCCGCCCATCTAAGCGCCCGCGCCTCCCTCGCCGCCTCCTCACACGCGGCCACGTCACCCGGCGAGCCGCTTTCACAGCTCCGTCCCGTCAGCATCCTTTCTATTTACTGGCCTCTGTCTGTCTCCCGCTGGGCTGTGCGCTCCCCGGGGCCGTGCTGGCTCCCCGCTGCTACTGCACAGCAAGCGATGCCGGGCCGCAGGCGGGAGCCAGCAGCAGCTCCGGAAGGAGCACATTCGCTACCAGCCAGGTGCCCCGGCCCAAACACGCAGCCATCTGCCGGCTCCGGGCGGCCCATCCCACCAGCCCCGGTCCCGGCCCAACCGGCGCGGCCCTCACCGTCCGAGACCATGGTGGCCTGGGATCCCTCAGCGCAGAGCCCCCGGAAGTCAAGTGAGCATCCCGGAAGCCGCGCATCTCCACTTCCGGCGCTTCCGAGTGACGTATAGGCGGTTGGGCCCATATCCAGCGCGGCACCCAGGCCCCGCCCCCAGCGCGCCGGAAGTGGAGTGCGGAGCGGCACCCAGGCCCCGCCCCCAGCGCGCCGGAAGTGGAGTGCGGAGCGGCGCGGCGCGCTGTCAGACTCTGAGATCCTGAGCCGGCGCGGTCGCGGGACGCCAGCGGGCAGCACGGGCGGCTCCGGGCCCCTCGGGCTCCGCGGTCCGGAGGGCACCATGGACGACAAGGGTAAGTGGGGCCGGGCCGGGCCTGCCGGGTCTAGAGCGGAGCCGCGCAGGGGTCCCTGCACCTCGCACGCCCAGGCTGGGCTCCGGGAGGGAGCGGCCGCTTTCCGAGCTCCGGCTGCTCGGCTGGATGTGGTTCCTCTAATCCCTCTCGTGGTCCTGGGTCCGGGGGCTGGGCCCTGAGCGTGTCCGCAGACACCCCCGCTCCCCACGCTTCTTGGCCGTGCAAGCCTTCGCGGTCCTGATCTCCCCGCAGGCGGAGTAGGAGTGACTCTGAACTGTTGAATCTGACATTAGAGTCTGCAGAATAAGGCGTGTTGGATGTGCTCATCTAGCGTGGTTATCAAAGCGTTTGTTAGGAGATAATAAACTAATACACATGTAACGTTCACGTTAAGCAAATAAAAGGTGGTTAAGCACATACAAGTAAATAAGTCTGCATTGAATAGGCGTGACCTAGCATAGACTGTCGGCAGGGACGGGTACAGGAGACACTGGTAAGGTGGTTGAGTGGAGTTCTCAGGACGCAGGGTCCAGGATAAGAGGGAGATGGCCCCTGAGTCTCATCTGTGCCCCCATTAGCCATTACCCCCTGACAGCCAGGCACCTGCGGAAGAGAACTGTCTAAGGTGAACGGTGATCAGCAAGCTCTCTGGCCTCGGGGAGAATTTGATGGGTCACTTTTTCCTCTCTTCCCAGAGCTGATCCAGTACTTTAAGTCTCAGATGAAAGAAGATCCCGACATGGCCTCGGCGGTGGCTGCCATCCGGACGCTGCTGGAGTTCTTGAAGCGAGATAAAGGTGAGGGTCGCCGCGGCGCACACGGGCCCTAGGACAGTCTCCCGACATCTGTGTCCCTGCGTGCGGTGCTGTCACCCCCAGCTCAGCTTCTTCCTTCCCTTTTCTCCCTTTGACCCTGAGAGAGCCTTCAAGTTAAATTCTGGCATTAAGTCCGTTCATCCCGATCGCCTGCCGGTTCAGGCATTCCAAATGCGAGAATCCTCGGATAGCGTGACACCTTGCGGAAGGGAAATAATGAAGCTTCTTTAATCCCTGGACAACATCGTGTCTCCATCTGCTCCCAATAACACCCAACCCCCTGGTCCTTGCTGCTCCGCCTCCCAGACCTCACCTGCCTGGGCTACTTAACGTCCTCCATTCATTCATTATCTCTCTCTCTTTCTCTCTCTCTCTCTCTCTCTCTATCTTTCTATCTCTCTCTCTCTCTCTCTCGTCTCTTTCTTACCTGTGTTTTGGCCAACCTAGCCTCTCTTTCTGACCCAGGTTGTCTCCATCTCGTGGCCTTTGCCCCTGGGACCTGTCCCACTGGATCTTATGTGGCTGGACCCTTCCCTCTTCACTTAAAGGGCCCCCACTCCAAGAAGCCATGCCTGCTCACCTGACCACAGCTTCACCTTCCCTATCCTTTTTCTCTTTTCTGTCCTCATTACTCTGTAATTCATGTCCCGATTTCGCTGGGTACTTATTTCTTTTCTGCCTCTCCCACTAGAGAGTTCATCAGAGCAGGGACCCTGTCTGTCGTGTTCACTGGTGTATTTCTGGCATCTAGACTAGCATAACTGTGCATCGTAGATGAATGAATGAGTGAATGACAGACCCATCGAGGGCCTGTGGTGCTAAGGTGAGCGTCACATTTCTCATGTGATCGATCCAGGGGAGACGATCCAGGGCCTGAGAGCGAACCTCACCAGAGCCATCGAAACCCTGTGCGGCGTGGACTCCTCCGTGGCCGTGTCCTCGGGCGGTGAGCTCTTCCTGCGCTTCATCAGCCTCGCGTCCCTGGAGTACTCGGTGAGCCCGCCGCCCAGTCCCTCTCCCGCTGCTCCCCGGCTGCAGACCTTCTCCGCTTCGCCCTCATCCTACCCTTCCCCTCCTAGGATTACTCCAAGTGTAAGAAGATCATGATCGAGCGGGGAGAGCTTTTCCTCAGGAGGATATCGCTGTCGAGAAGGAAAATCGCAGACCTGTGTCACACTTTCATCAAAGACGGGGCGGTGAGTAAGGGGCCGTGGTAGCTGAGCGAGGGCTTTGGAGGGAGGACTCCGGGGTGACTTCCTGCCTCTGCCGTGTGACCTCAGTGCTGCAGCGTGCTCACTGCTAAGTAGGCAGAATAATAGCGCCCACCTCGCCGGGTTGTTGTGAGGACAGCCAGGTGGTACGTGTAAGGACTGTGTGCTGGGCCTGCACACAGTAGGCCTACATAAATGCAGGTATGATCGTAGACCGTTGTCACTTTAAACGGGCAGAGAAAAACACGGGGACAGCGTAGGTAAGCCGTGACTTAATGAGATGCCTTAAGGAAGTGACTTTGTTATTGGACGTGCACAGAGTTAATACAAAATGGACACAGCAGCTCCTGTCACTTCCTGGTAAAGGCTGGCACTGGGGTGAGATGTTTTTAATCTCATTTCACTGCTGTGGCAGATGCTCAGCTGCCAAGTGTTGATCAGGGAAAGACAGGAGCTGCGAGCGAAGTGGGTCGCCTGGCCCAGGGCTAGTAAGACTCTTAGACGTGTCTGCATACTTCCCTCTGCATCGCCCACTACTGACCAGGAGACATCGTGGGCACCTTGAGTGCCCAGGGTGGGGCGCATCGGGCCGGCCCTCTGATGGCGCGTTCTCGTCCACAGCGGATCCTGACCCACGCCTACTCCAGGGTGGTCCTGCGGGTCCTGGAGGCGGCCGTGGCAGCCAAGAAGCGTTTCAGCGTGTACATCACCGAGTCGCAGCCGGATTTGTCCGGGCAAGTACCCCTCCCCGGGTCCCGTGCCCGCAGCGTTCACAGGGGCGGGCTGTGGGCTGGAAGCCATCGCAAGGAGCCAGGGCAGGCCCCGACCTGCAGCATCCCGCGCTGCCTGCCTGCTGGCGCCGGGGAAAGCCACGTGAAGCACAGGAGGGGGGTGTCGCACTGCGGCCCAGGGCTTGACCTAACAGTGAGATGAGGGGTCTGCAGGTTTCCATCCGCTGTTTCTCGTAAGTGGTGTGACTGGTCACACATCCCTCTGGAACTTTCTGGATTTTATCTGATGCTCTCAAATGCCATTTTCAGGAAGAAAATGGCCAAAGCGCTGTGCCACCTCAACGTCCCCGTCACCGTGGTCCTGGACGCCGCTGTTGGGTGAGCGCCAGCGTCCACGGCTGCGATGACGCGTCCCCACCCACTCCCAGGGCTGGCGGAGCACCCACCACTTAATTAACAGCTGCCCGAACCGGCACGCTCGTTACAGGCCCGATGGCACAGACGCCGGGCTGGAGGACGCCAGCGGGGCGGTGATGGGCAGGGTTTAGCCTGTGGTGCCAGGGCAGGGGAGGATGGGGCTCCCCCTTCATCTGAAGACATCGTGCCCTGTGGCCCTTGGCTTCATCGTCTCCGCCACGCCACTTACCCCGAGGCCACAGCACTGAGTGAGACCACAGGAAAGCCCCTTCGGAGGAACCGCGTGGGGAAGCCGGGCTGCGGGCTGAAGGCCTGCTCGGGTTCGAACATCTGTGCGCACTGGGTGGCAGCGCGGCGTGGGGTCCGGATGGAACCGGGTTTCACTGCGCTGGCGGCAGTGCCGGCGCCGCCCCGTGTGCGCGGGGCACGGGGAGGCAGCGTCAGCCTGTGCAGCGAGGCTGCCGGCGGAGGGAGGAGTAACCGCCGCCTCACTCCGCAGCTACATCATGGAGAAGGCCGACCTCGTCATCGTGGGCGCCGAGGGGGTCGTGGAGAACGGGGGCATCATTAACAAGGTAGGAGCCCCGCTCTGCCGTTGCTCCCCAGTGCGGGGACGTGCCCGACCCAGGTCACGGAAGCGTGCTGTGCTGTGCGGTTCAGTCACGTGATCCTGCTTAGTCCATCCGCTTGCTTCCCAGTCCCAGAAGCCATTGTGGTGGTCGGTCCAGTTTTGGTAAAATTCCCTTGTTTCGGAAACTCATCTATAGATGTAATTTCTATTTCTATTTTTTCCAAAAAATATGTTTTAACTGAAATTGGGTCTTTTCAGTTGGGTTTTTTTCCTATTGAGTATGTCTGACATCAATAGAACGTGTTAAAATGTCTATCCAGCCCGGCCGGGCCGGTGTGGCTCAGTGGCTGGGCACCGGCTGTGCGGTCCTGTCGGTGCTGGTCAGGGCAGGTCACTGCGAGGAAGTGGTGTTTAGTGGCTCTGACCTGCATTTCCCTGGTGACTCAGGGCCCGGAGCGTCTTTCCCTGAGTTTATTGGTGTGTCTCTGGGAGAATATCTACTGTTTTCTTTCTTAAAAGCTCCTCTTGGGTTCCGCAGTGAGAGTTACATGTTACGATCATGCGTGTGCTTTCTGTTGCCTCCGTGCCTGCCGTCGGCCTCACTGGCCCCCCTACCTGTCTTCCCAGATCGGAACCAACCAGATGGCCGTGTGCGCCAAAGCGCAGAACAAGCCCTTCTACGTGGTCGCCGAGAGTTTCAAGTTCGTCCGGCTCTTCCCCCTGAACCAGCAGGACGTCCCCGACAAGTTTAAGGCAAGAGCTTGACGCAAATGCCCCTTCAGACGCGTGAGTTACTCCCTGCCCGGGGCCGATTCCTCCCAGTGGGGTCATCAGGAGACAAATTGGTGGCGGCGAGACCCAGTCTGACTTGGCCCAGAGTCTCAGCCTTCCTTCTCCCTGCGCACTGAGCACTGGCCACAGCTGCGGGGCGGGGGCCACTTCCTGACCACGTGCCCGTGGGCAAGCCCTGTCCTCCGAGCTCCGAACCTCAGTGGCCTGCGCAGGGGAACAGCATTGGCAGCCTACCCCCGGGGGCAGGCTGAGCAGTGCCCGCCCAGGGGGAGGGGACAGGTGCTTGGGCGTCTGTGGCCACAGGGACCGCCGTGACAGCCCACAGCAGAGCGCCCTCGTGTCAGTGCGCCCAGCTGGCCTCTCCCGTTTGGGGACAGTGGCGAGGCCAGCCCCACGCGGAGCCCTGAGCGCATGGCGGGCAGACTGACATGGCTTCTGTCTGCAGTACAAGGCGGACACGCTGCGGTCCGCGCAGACTGGACAGGACCTCCGAGAGGAGCACCCGTGGGTGGACTACACGCCCCCCTCGCTGATCACACTGCTGTTCACGGACCTGGGCGTGCTGACGCCCTCGGCCGTCAGCGACGAGCTCATCAAGCTGTACCTGTGACGGCTTCCTGCCTCAGGGGACGGAGCCCGGCGAGCCAGCCAACCGGAGCTGTTTTAATGGAGATTTATGGACTAGGGACTTAAAATCATCATTTTGGTGAATTTTTTATCCTTTCCAGTCCTGTTTGAAAATGTTCCCGGTTCCCGTAAAACCACCTAAGCTGTACTGATGGTTCCCAGAAACTGCCACTCACTTCCTGTTTCTAGAAACACACGTTAGACTATTGGCTCTTAACCCTCGAGACCCCTCCCCTCGTCCTCTGCCAAGGCCCACTCACAGAGCAGGCCTCACTGTGCAGTGCCCTGCACCGCGTGGTGCCCAGGAGGGCAGGAAGCACCTGCTCAGGTAGCACCGCTGCCCCTGGTGGACACGAGCCAGAGCGCAGCCCGGGTGGCATCGAACCATAGGAGCACCCCAGCCAACCCAGGTGCGCTCACTGCCAGTGACGCCTCCCGACGTTTGGAAACTAAAGCTGTGTCTGTGAAAGACGTGGATCTTAACAGGTTTGGGACCTGAACATTTATAATTGCACATGGGAATACATTCAGCATCTTTTCAATAAATGAGACACTGACTGGTTTTGCATCAGCACTGCGCGCTGAGCCGAGCCTCGCTGTGTGGACAGTGCCACCTCGTTCATACTGAGGGTGTATGTAGTCAATAAGGCGTCATCTCCCAAAACAGGACTAGCTGCCCCGACTTTCCAGATACTCCCCTATAACAGCCCTGGGGACCGTTCGGAGGAGAGAAGGAAAACCAGGCCACTGCCGCTCTGGGCCGTGTCCTGTGCCCTGCCCCACGGGGACCCCGTGGCCCCTGGGCCGTGGCCCGCACACTGCCCCAGGGAGCTCAGGGGCCTGAAAGCTCTAGGGAACTTTAAAAAGCCTGAAGTCAAGTCTACACCAGTGTATTAAAAATAGTGTAAAATAAGCTCTTTAATTATAGGCGACCATCAAAACAAATATTGACATCTATTATTTACACCAGAAAACTCCCACCTCCCGCTGAGCCTCAGGCGGGCGTGTCTGTGGTAAATCATGACCTGAAGGCCCTTCCGACCTCCCAGCCTGCAGGACAGCACGCCTGCCCGGTCCCGGTCCCGGTCCTGAGCCCCGGCATCAGCCGTCCCCCTCCACATCGGAGACCCCCAAACCCTCGGTCCTGACGGGCCCCCTGGTGCTCGTCAGCAGCCCCTTCTCCAGCTCCTCCTCCGTGATCCTGCCTTTCCTGAACTTCCTCAGGAGCCGCGTGTCCTTCAGGAGCTCCTCCGTGTCCTCGTCCTCCAGCTCGGAGCCCTGCACGGAGACCAAGCCGAGCGCCTGAGTGACGGAGCCGGGGGAGCCGCTCTCATCAGGGATGACTCGCTCTCGGAGCGGCTCCCCCGGACACAGGGCCCGTCACCACCCAACAGCGCCCTGAGCGCCCGGGCACGTCCCATAGAAGACAGACACCCCGCGGCCCCGCCCCGGGACTCTCCCACGAACTCCAACCGTCTCCACGTTACCTCTTCCCTCTTCCTCTTCTTGTTCACCTTCTTCTTCTCCCTCTTGGCTTTCTGCTTCGACCACGCTTTGTTTTTGACGAACCTCCTCCTCCCCTCGTTGTCGGTTTTCTCCTTCCTCTGCTCCAGCAGCTTCTGCCTCTGCTTTTCCCGGATCTTGTCTCTGAACGGGATGGTGTCCGTGTCGACGTCCACGGGCACGAAGTCCGGGAACTGCTGCCCCCTCAGCTCCGGCATCCGGGGCATCTTCAGGAGGGCGAAGCCGCGCGCGAGGGCAGCGAAGTCCAGATCTGATCCAGGAGAGCCCAGGGTGAGGCCCGCCCGGGGGTTCCAGATCCTTCCTCTAACCAATGACCTCACAATCACTGTAGCTCCAGTCACCACGTCGGTACTAAAAGGAACACACTCGGCGCCAGTCCATTCCCTCTGCCCACGCCCTGGGAGGACTCCATGGTGTTTGGAACACAATGCCAGGACACCGGCCTAACGCTATAAGCCAGAGCAGCCTCACACCCGGGGCCTGCGGGAGCGCAGCCGCCTCGGACAGACCCAGCCGCTGCCCACGCCCGACTCACCCTTGAGCCGGAAGATGAGGCTGCACTCGTGCTTGGCGTAGGCCTGCACGAAGGAGACGAAGGCGCGCATGCCCTTCTCAAACACGGCCCGGTCGGCCAGGGCCAGCGCCCGCAGCTTCGGGAGGAGGTCGGCCGTGTGCTTCTGCGGCTGCATCTCCTGCAGGGGGCACTGCGGAGACCACACTCACTTCCTGCCCCAAGGCTCCCCCAGAGCCAGCGCCACGGAGACCGAGGGCCAAACAACCCCCTGGCATCTCCGATCAGAGGCCTCGAAGCCCAAGTCCAGCCCAAGTGTCTACTGGACCCGAACGATTAAAAATGTCACATGACCACTGGCTTCTGGTTGGCAAGTGTGGCGAAGTCGGGTCCACGTTCCCACCCGTGTCCACCAGGGACACGGCTGCCCCCCGCGATGAGGCTGGGGTCCACCCTGGGCCTCGAAGCCCAGGTTCCGCACTCACATCACCAGCCGGGCCGCGAGTCTGCACCTCGATTTAATCCCGACCCCGTGCCAGAACGGGGCGAGGCGGCTCACCTTCTGGTTGATGGCCAGGAAGTTGACGTAGGCCGCCTCCATGGGCAGCAGGAACACCAGCGCGCTGCCGCCGTGGCCGATGCGCGCAGTGCGGCCGCAGCGATGCACGAAGGCGCTGGAACACAGGACGGACGCGGGGCATGCGGCGGCGGCCGAGCCAAGCACAGGCCCGGGTGGCCGGCCCACGGCTCAGTCCCAGCCCCGCCCTGACCAGGACACAGGAGAGTCAGCGACTACGTGTCCACTGCCCACCAGTCAGGACGCTGTGAGCACTGAACACGGACTACAGGTGTTCACATGGATGCTTATCCGGGGGGACAGGCTGGAATCACTACCGAGGGCCGTGATACACCCACTCGCCTGTTTTTGCCGTTAGAAATACACTGTGATTCGGCATTTTGTCTGCCTGCCCCAGCGGAGGGCAGCATTCGGTCTCAGTACCTTGCGCTGCTGGGGGGGTCGTATTGCAGCACCCAGTTCACCTCGGGGATGTCAATGCCGCGGGCCATCACGTCGGTGCACACCAAGATCCCGCTGGGGAGGGAGATGGAGCGTGAGCGGGAGCCGCACGCCCACGGCCAGCAACCTCAGCGCTCAGGGAGGACAACAGGGGGACTTGGGGGGGGAGTCCAGGAATCTCTCAGTGACCATGATATGCAGGTCCCTGCTCTTACAGAGCTCACAACCTCTCAGGGAAGCAACAGCTGCTGAGGACATCGGCACAGCACGGTGGCTGGGCAGGACAGAGGGACAGGTGCGCACCTGCACAGAGAGGACGGGAAGATGGGGGGGCGGGGCAGCAGGGAATGAAGGACGCCCAGGGGCGTCCGAGGCAGAGGGACATTCGCGGCCGGAGAAGCGCCGTCCCGCCGGGCCCACCTCTGCAGCTGGCGGAAGCCCATGAAGATCTTGTTGCGCTTGAACTTCATCTTCCCGTGAATGCACATGACCTCCACGCCCTTCACCAGCGCCTCCAGCGCCTTCCCGTAGTATTCCACGCAGGCGCAGGTGCTGCGAGGGGACGGGGCTCAGACGGGGACCACCAGCCTCTGGGAGGAGGCAGAGGGCTGTGCGTGCCCACAGCTGCCGGAGGGCCCCAAGCTAAACCCCCAACCCTCTCTCCGACAGCTCCCCCCACGCACAGGCTAAACCCCGGACACATCCCCACGCCTAACGATGATGGAGCGAGGGGTTCCCCTGAACCCTGAGAAACAGACTAAACTGAAGCCGTCTTTCATAACAAAAGCGATGACATCTTAAAGATAGTTTCCTACTTCCCTCTGGGGACCGGCTTCTTCCCCAGGGCTCGGCACCGGGTGCGCTGAGCCCGGCCCACCCGCCCGGCCCGGGGCGCCACCTGAAGAAGACCAGGTGCTTCTCCTGCTTGTGGTTGCGCAGGAAATGGACCAGCTGGTTAAACTTCTCATCTGCCTTGCACACCTGCAACGAGAAAGGAAAACCCGTAAAACACACACAAACGCACCGACGATCCCTATCCCCACAGCCAATCCCCACAGCCAATCCCCATAGCGAGGATGCTCCATCTCAGCCCTAACCCTAAGGGTCTGCCTCCGACACCTATCTCCCATTGGGAACCCGTACGATCTGCCCCTTGGCAAACACAAGCACCCCCGGCACTGCTGAGTACCGCCACGGGCTGCGCCGAGTGCCCGGGGCCGGGAGCACCCCAGGGCTCACCATGTAGTGGTTCTCCAGGCGCGAGGGGGTCTTCTGGGTGCTGCTGGCCGCCGCGCCCTTCTCCTTCACGGACACGCGCACGGGGTTCCGCAGGCCCGCGCGCACCAGGCTCTCCACCTCCTGCGTCTGCGTGGCCGAGAACAGCCCCGTCCTCCTCTGCTTGGGCAGCAGCTCCAGGATGGTGTTTATGCTGAAAGGGGCGCAAACGGAACAACCAGCAAACTTTACCGTATGAAACCACACATTACGTTATGCTAGACCTGAAAGGAATGACCGCAGTATTGACAGCAAATGTCACTGAGGTGAGGTGATTTATGCCTTTTATTACCTTCTGTGTTCTCACTTTGCGTTTCTCTATGTAAGCACATGATTGTACTTCCGTAAAGTGGGGCAGTGCAAGGAGAAAGTGAAATTAAGACAAACTTTCTGAGACTAAAAACCAGGGAACTGCCCATTTTAAATGGGTGAATTGTAAGACATAGGAATCAGATCCCAATTGAGCTGTTTATTAATACACGTGTGCGTGCACACAGATACACACACCAAAAAAAAAAAAACACATACATGTACACCAAAAGGTTGAGGGTTCGATTCCTGGTCAGGGCACATAAAGAGGCAACCTATCAATGTTTTTCTCTCTTTTTCTCTCTCTAAACATATCCTCGGGTTAGGATTAAAGGAAAAAAATAAACAAGAAAAAAAAAGATGAACTGGAGTCTATATTGTGCGGTAGAATTTGAAGGAGCAAACAATCTAATGCCGTGAAATTCACGTGTCCAATAGAGTCCGAAACCCAGTACCTGGCCTCGAACCCCATGTCCAGAAGTCTGTCCGCTTCATCCAACACCAGGACATCGAGGGACCTCACGCAGCTGGCCAGGTCCAGGCCCTCGGCCTTCCTTCGGAACATGTCCTCCAGGCGGCCTGGCGTCGCCACAATGATGTTCCCCCTTGGAGAACAAAGTCAGCCTGGGCCACCCATCCTGACCTTGGGGGTAATTTGTCATTCCAAACCCCACGTTTTATATCCGGCCCCTCAAAGGCTCCCTGATCCCCGTGGAGAGAAAGGAGACTCATGAGTGAGAGGACAGGTGAACGGGAGCTCCAGGTGCCGGGCAGGTCGGGGATGACAATCCCAACCCCCATTTTAGACGCGTCTGCAGGGAGTGGCTAAGATGCCAGGGCCGTGCAGGCAGGCGGATCTGGGGCTCGGGCGAGGTCAGAAACCTCCAGGAGGGCTGAGCCCCTGAGAGAGCCCAGAGTGACCAAAGCAGCGCCCTGGGCCTGTGTAGTCTCGGGGGAGAGCTGTGGGCCCGCAGCCCACACCTCCTGCCGCTGCAGGGGCAGGGCTCCCGGAGGGAGGGGTCAGGAGGGCCGGAAGGAAGGAGCCAGAGGGGGAAAAGGAGACGGGCCAGAAGGAAACACCGGGCTGGGAGGGCGGTGCCTGAGGGGCGCTCCGGGTTAAGCTGAGAGGATCATCCATTCCGCCTGGGTTCGGTGCCCAGAGCAAGCAGAGCCGAGCAGCCGCGATCACACTCACCCGTGTTCCTTAAACCTGGAGACATCTTCCCCGGGATTCCTGCCTCCGATCCAGAGGATCTGGCTGAAACAGGAAACGGGTCCTGAGCAGGCCAGGCACAGCCCGGCCCGCGGCCCACGGGGACCCGGCACCCCCTTTACCTGAACTGCGGGAAGGGCTTGGTGAAGTGCGCCAGGACCTCGTCTATCTGCACAGCCAGCTCTCGAGTGGGCGTGATGATGATGGCTCCCACCTGCCCACGTGGGAGGGGCGGACAGGGAGTGGGGGGACAGGGAGTGGGGGGAGGGGATGCCATGAGCATCGCAGGGGCCTGCAGGCTGAGCACATGCACTCGGACCCTCCATCTCTCGACCTGGGCTCGCCCAGCAGCCCGGTCCCAGTGCTTGTCTGCTATTCCCCCCCGCATATATTTTATTGAGTTTTTACAGAGAGGAAGGGAGAGGGATAGAGAGTTAGAAACATCGATGAGAGAGAAACATCGATCAGCCGCCTCCTGCACACCCCCAACTGGGGATGTGCCCACAACCAAGGTCCATGTCCTTGACCGGAATCGAACCTGAGACCTTTCAGTCTGCAGACCGACGCTCCATCCACTGAGCCACACCGGTCAGGGCCCCATTTGCCTTTTAAGCATCTGCCCAGCCTCCCAGCCCCTGGGAACAGCCCGGGGCTCGCCTCACCTGATGCCTCTTGAGCTTCTCTTCCCTCCGCAGGAGGATCTCCAGGATGGGGATGACGAAAGCGAGGGTCTTCCCGCTCCCCGTGACCTGCGGGGGGACAGGGCGAGGTGGGCGGGTGCCCGCGGGCCCTGGCGGAGGGAACCCGGAGGCAGCCCGCCCGCGGACTCACCGCCTCGGCAGCGACGTCCTTGTTCCTCAGGAACAGCGGGATGGCGGCGGACTGCGGGAGACCAGAGCGCCGGTCGGAGCGCGCGGCGGCCCGGGCCGGCGTGTCCCCGCCGGCGGGCGCCTTCCCCCCGCCCCGGCCGCGGTACCTGCACCGGCGTCATGTGGGGGAAGCCCAGCTCCCGCAGCGCGCCCAGCACCCGCGGGTGCAGCCGCACCGGCAGCGACTCCCACGACCCCTCCGTCACGTGCTCCATAGCGAGCCCCGCAGCAGCCGCCGCCGCCGCCGCCGCCGCCGCCGCCCCCGCCGCCTCCGGAACCCGGCGGCGAGCACTTCCGCTTCCGGCCGCCTCCCGGTCCGGCGGGGAACCCGGCCCCGGCTGCTAAGTTCCGGGCGCGGAAAGGCGTCCTGGCCGCCGGGAAGGCGGTTAGGGGAGAGGAGAGCGGGCGGCGGGCCGGCGGGAGGGGTGTGCCCCGTCTCACGTCCTCCGCCGGCGGAGGCAGATGGCAGCACCGGCCGCGTGCTGGCCGAGGACAGCCGGCAGGACGGGCCCCAGCCGAGCTCCAGGCCAACAGCAACGCAAAACAGGGCTGATGGCGGGGTCCAGGGCCCGGTACGTAACAGATGTTGTGTGCTTCCTAGGAAGCTGCGATCGGAGTCCTAACTAGAACCCTGGGCACTCAGCGAGCTTCAGTGCTGGGCTCCGTGAGCACCCTTCCCCATTAGCGCAGGCTTCTTCCCTCCCTCCCCCCGTTTCCCAAGACCCCCTCCGCGAGCCTGCCTTCCCCACGGCCCCACCACAGCACTTGCATGTGTGCTTCACCTTCCCCACTAGAATGGGGGATTTTCCTTTACCCCAGGGGCTGCACTGGCATAAGTACACAGCCAGTATTCTGGGATGAATAAATATCTTAAAGGAAGTGGAAAATAAAAGCCCAAGGTAACGTTTTCACTGAAACTTGTCCACCTCCAAGCACCGCGGACCACTTCCGTAGACCGGGACTTGCAGAGCGCGCTGAAAACAAAGCCTGCATTTGGGGCTCTACTTACTACGTTCTGGACTTCTCCACGCCTGTTTATTTCCAAAATAAGAAAACCGCCCAACGTAACGGCGGTTTGAGGACTAAATGAGACAGACGGTGTGGCGTTTAGCATCCTGCCAGCCTTCTGTGTCGCTGGCCGGCCTGCTGTCAGGGAGGGAGGAATCGTTCCCAGCGGCAGATTTACTTTTCTGGCCTCTTCATCTGGGAGCCTTCAGCAAATCTCTCTCTCAAACTTATTCCCCACATCCGTAAACCAATAGGTGGATGAATAAGAAATCACCCAAAACTACTTTTTCCACATGAAAAAAGAGCAATGTTAACATTGACCCGTGAAAGAAACCACACAGGGAAACCTAAAATTGGGCTCCTTTTCACTATCAAGTTTACGGATATAAAAAGGAATGCTCAGGCCGGGACCGGTTTGGCTCAATGGAAGAGCGTAGGCTTGGGGACTGGAAGGTCCCGGGTTCGATTCCGGTCAAGGGCATATACCTTGGTTGCGGGCACATCCCCAGTAGGGGGTGTGCAAGAAGCAGCTGATCGATGACTCTCTCTCATCAATGTTTCTAACTCTCTCTCTCTCCCCCTTCCTCTCTGTACAAAATCAATAAAATATATTTTTTTAAAAATAAAAAATAAAAATAAAAAGGAATGCTCAGAAAAAAGGGACATGTCTCATTTCAAATACTGGAATATAATAAATGTGAGTTAATATATAAAACAGAATATAATCGCTTCTCGGCCTTTTGGCTAAGATCAAGTGTAATATATAAAACAGAATGCAAAGACTGTTTTTAAAAAGAATTGTTTATTTACTGAACCTGGGGCAGATTCGATACACAACCAATTTTAAATTTACATATTTTAATTCCATTTTGAAGTGTTTTCTTACACACGCAGAGAAACTGGCATGCAACAGTGTCCTAAGGTAGAACAGTCACCTTAAGCTGCTGCTGCAAGTATCGTCACCCAAGGTTGAAAAAGTGTTTATCCTGAACATGAAAACCTGTAACAAATTTAAATTAATTATATAAAACTCGTTACTTGTAGTTTTACCTTTGCAAAGATCCAAAAAAAATGTACAAGTAACTAAAATACATCAGTTTACAACATAATCTTGGATCATCCCCACACCAAACCTGATGCTCCTTCAATTTTAAACACATCATCAGAGACCAAGAGGAAGTCATCTCGTTTTATACAAATAAAATCCACATGTGCCAAAAAACAAAACCAGAAACCCTAGCGCTGACAGTGCTGTCAGTGCCCTTATTAACAAGTGGCCAAACGCCGCTGATCAGAACTAAACAGTGGCTGTCTCACTCACTGCAATGAAACCAAGAGGCTTACCCATGTGCGCGAGAAACCAGGTTTCCCCAATTACGTGAATGCAGAGCTCCCACGCGCCAAGAGTGAAGTGTGTGCCAGCACAGAAAGGACAAGAGCCACCCTCAGCTGAAACACCCGGAGAGTTGGCTCTAGTAGAGACTTCTTACAAGGTTAGGCAGAAATCAAAAAAGGATAATTAGCTGCTGTGTCATCAATTTAGTAAAGGTGAAGTCCTGAAGATCAAAGTGAAAATGTTGGGGTGGGGTGGGGGGGGGTGATCAAGTGTAAAAGGACCAACCTGGTAGCACAGAGCTCTGCCATTAGGTGGGTAAAAATGCCAATTCAGACTGTTGTTTCTCATAAGAACTAAACAAAATGAATCTTTAATGACTTGAACTGCAAGATAAGGGGCCAAAAGATTGCAGTCATTTTAGTGAAGTGCTAACCTGAACAAACTGCATTTTAGTTTGGAAACTAAAGAAGACGTGAGGAGGACTACATGCCTACGTTTCATTTACAGTGTTCAAGCTCTGGGAGGGCCTGTAGAATGAGGCAGAATTCAAATAAATTGTGCCAATCACATGTCAAATTCTCACTATCACTTTCCCAATAGCTATTAATCACAAAGAAACCTAGGCTGTGAATGTACAATTCAGAAAATAAAAACGTATGAACTAAATGACATTATTATGACCAAGATGTTTGGTAAACAGTGAATCATGAGTTTCGGATCATCAGAAAAAAAGGCTTTTTAAACCACCCTCCGGACTTCAAAAAATCTCTTCAGGTAGTAGATCTGTCCCAAGGTCATGGCAACTAAAACAAGAGCTTCAAAGAAGGACCAAAGGACCACTCTGCTGTTTGTGTTGTCGTTGACTGTGGAGGATAAACAAATACACAACATTTAATAAGTGACAGAGAAGCTGGAAAAGCACCCCACTCTTACCCCGTGTGAAGTAATACCCGCACACATTCCTAGCACTCAGCACTCCTGTCCCCAAGCAACTCAACAGCTAGAAGCAGAGAACTGTAGAGTTAAATGCACCTTTAAGGTTCAGAGCACAGTCACCATCTGCTTATTGTGTATGGGGAACCGAGAGAAAGTGGCTGGCCCAAGGTTACACTTCTAGGGTTAAAATCCAACCAACTTCTTTCTCCCTCCCATCGAAGCGTCCCTACATTATAATCTTTTTTTTAATCAGAAAACTGACTTTTAACAAAATTAAGAGATTTCAAGATCACCGTTACTAAATCAAAGTCACTTTAAAAAACAAACAAACACACATTTATTGAGCACCTACTGTAGCGGCATTTGTTCTAGGTGGGGGAGATTTCTATTTCATGGACCAATACTGACAGTTACTACTAACCTGGAACGAGTCTCATGCCTTTTCCCGCTCATTAGCTAAGGATTTAAATCTTAAAAGTAACAGGCATGAAAAAATATATTTTATTTTTATATTTTATTCTGCTCGATTTATATCACATTCAAGTTTCTGATCAAATTCTATAGAATTACTAGGCAGACACTGCACTCAAATCTCCTTTCCGAGTGATTTTCTTTCTCTAAACTCTAAGGATCCCCATAAGACTTGTAATCAGGGGAGCAATGTCCCAATAGTAAGCTGGTGTGGTCGAAGCTCTACCAACACGTACACTCAAAAGGTATCTGGACCAGTGCTTTAAGTCAATGCTTCGTATGATGTTTGCAAACCTTCCAGCTGAGGGCAATGGGGGGGGGGGGGGGGGGGAGCCTGCTGCGGGCCAGCAGCTGTGTGACCGAGGACTTACTTGCTCTGTGTATCCTCTCCCGCACTTCCATGTACTCCTGCTCGTGCTTCACAGCTGTCATGGCCACTGCTAGCTCGTTGATCATCTCTTCCAGCTTGTTCTGGTGAGCTGCAGGAGGTTGGAAAACAATCAGCATGGGTGTGGAATCTCTTTGAAAAATACGCATAAAGCAATCAAAATATTCCTCAGAGAAGACGTACAAAAGCAGCTATTTTTAGAAATCCAAGAAGCTCCAACATCATTTTGGATCCCTTACAACTTAATTCTCTACGCATTTTTTAAAATCCCATTCCTAGTAAAAAAATCTTTCAGGTTAGAAAACATACTATACAATACTTACTAACTAAAGGAAGACGACCTCAGAAATGTCTCCCACTGACCTGCTGCTAGTGAAGCTCACTCTGCTGACTGCTCACCAAGGAGGGGAAAGTTAAGGAGGGGGAGCACAAAATATCAAACAGTGCCGAAACCGGTGTGGCTCAGTGGATAGCGTTGACCTGCGGACTGAAGGGTCCCAGGTTCGATTCCGGTCAAGGGCATGTACCTTGGTTGTGGGCACATCCCTAGTAGGGGGTGTGCAAGAGGCAGCTGATCGATGTTTCGCTCTCATCGATGTTTCTAACTTTCTATCCCTCTCTCTTCCTCTCTGTAAAAACTCAATAAAATATATATTTTTTTAAAAAATATATCAAAGGAAGTCCCTGTAACACCCTAGTGCTATTCTATAAATATTTATACTAAAATTAAAATCTACATATTAACTCTAAATGTTAATTGAGAAGCAGTATCAAAACAGACTCTTAATCTCAGAAGCTGAGCAGAGAAAAACATTCCTGGGAAAACCCACAGCCGCTCAAACATCCGCTCTGAGCCAAGCAGCGACTTCACTCGGTGGGAGCAGCAGGCACTGCCAGTGAAAGCGCTCAGCGGCACGAGGTCCAGAACCAGGGCTCTTGGGCAGAACTGGATACAAGGGGAGCCCACGGCTCTGAGGAGCATGTGTACGCTTGCAGGCTGCACTGTCTGATGGCAACGAGGAAACGGCAGGAGAACACACCAGGAGATTCCCACCGGAGGGTCTGGTTACCAGGCCCGCACTGGGCTTCATGGAGAATCCCAAAGCCCCGCAGGGGACCCTGCATTCCTGAGGGGCCCAGGGCCGCCACTGTAAGGGCTGGGCTGCAACTCAGAGCCTCCCGCGCTCGCTCCTCTTCCCTCCAGGAAGGTAATCCTTGTGGGGAGCAGCCCGAATCAAAACCATCTCCTGACGGTGCCAAGTGGCCCTTGGGGGCAAAATTCATCCTGACTAGAGAACCACTGCTTCAGAGCAAGGCGTGACTTGACAGCTGCCATTCACTGACATTAACAAGCAAAAGCAAGAACTTTACATATCGTGTTAAGGATTATTTAGAGGCTAATTCAATATTCACACTCATCAGCCAACATTGTCTAACTACTTAGAAAGGACTAACTTCCAGAAAACAAACACACACAAAGCCTGAAACTCCCAATTCTTCCTGAAAATCAGCCAAGTTCTGCCCTGTAAACGGCCCTGAAAAGCAAGCGCAGGATTACTAAGCAGAATGAGCCTCTAAATCCAGAGACTTCACAACCTGTCGAACACTTCCTTAGGATGTAAGGCCTCTACTATCTGCTCCATACCTACCTCAAACGTTACCAGGCAACAGCAGGAAACGTGCTGGCCTGCTCCCTTCCAAACCCTACCCTCCCAGCCCCATGCTAATGTGCCGGCTCCCGTAAACAATTCCTCCAGAAGAATCCACTTAGGGCTCAGTGCTGGTCAGCTGGGGAAGGAAAACTGATCTAGCAGCAATGTATGGTTAAAAGAACTTTTGTCACAAAAACTCTTAGCACTGTATTGCATACCCAACCAAGTTTCAAGTTAGAAAGCTTTAGTAATCATTAAGACAAGGCTATAAAATACTTCCTACAAAGTCAATAGAACCACTTGCTATTAACTGTGTTTGAGACTTCTACTTGTCCAGTTATAGTCGAATATTTCCACTCCTCGCAAGCATTTAAAAGAAACAAATGGTACCATTAAATGTCAATGGCTCTGTTCCCAGGGATACCACTTTAAAATGGCCTAACCTGTACCTCCTGTCAACCAAGTAAACCACCAAAAACAACCACTCTAATGAGATGCAGGGTTGCTGTTTTTTCATTAAGACAAAACACACTCTCATGCCAACAAACGGAGGTTAGAAAGGAGAGCAGAAATTAGGTAACAGCCAGCAAAAATGTGCAAAAGGCAGGATGCCGTCCAAAAGCATTCCACATACCATCCCAGGTGTCTCCACCGCCTAGAGAGAAGTTTAAAGTGTGAACACAAAGATGGAACAGAATGTTCGGCTAAACTAGTCACGTACACAAACGAGCAAACGCAGACGAAGTGCCAGGCTGGCAAATCAGAGACCGAGCCCGGAGCCCAGGGACCCTGGTGTCACTGCAGCACCAGGTGCCGAGGCTGCCGCAGGGACACGGCGAAGAACCAGAATGGAAACGTGAATTTCCAGAAACTTCTGTGACTTAGGAGCTCGGGGGACATAAAGAGTGTATTTCACAAAAGGTTCCTGACTTTAAAGACAGTGAGTGAAACAAGGGAGGGGGGTTGGGAGGAAAAAGGACAGTGGATGGAACCAGAGTAAGAAACCAAAAGAAATACTCCAGCAGAGGATCAGAGTGTGCAATGGGACGTGAATCTGGAATGGGACGTGAATCTGAGCGTCCAGCTCACCTTCTGTTTCCATGTCCTGCCCCTTGGGGGCCTCTCCAATATCAATGGTAAACATCACTATCTTCGGAGTCATAGTGGACATCCTGTTGCTAAAGCAAAACTTGTATGTCCCATCCATGTGAGCAGCAAACGTGTACTTCCCGCTGGACTCCCGGTCTCCTTTATATATTCCTTTGTTATCCGGCCCTGTGATCTGGAGGAGGAGGGAAATGAAGACGTCAGGGAAGATTTCAATTATGAACATCACAGTGACTTCCACTGGCTGAGGAAATGGGAATTTCAAAATGCAGCCTTCCCTGAGTCCATCCACAGGTCAGGAAACAGGCTGGGTTTCTAATCACCTTTCAACTCCGACTACGTCTTATTCAACCTAAATGCAAGCCCCTCAGAAAGGAAAACGCACCTCCCACACCGTCTCTGTGGCCTGATGCCTCCAACAGCCACGCACACACACAGCCACTACACCCTCACCAAAAGCAAGAAACCTCACGGCCGAGGGTCAACCTAAACACCGGGAGGTCACAGTGCGATGTGCCCTGACCGGTTGCAGCTCCATCCCCAGTGAGGGACATGCAGGAGGCAGCTGACCCACGGTCCCCAGTTCTCTCTCATCATTGATGTTTTTCTCTCTCCCCCACTCCTTTAGTCTGAAATTGATTAAAAAAATACTCTTTTTTTTTTTTTTTTTTAAAGCAAGAGCCTCTTTAACTAAGACTTCTGAGCAAGGTGCACTCCTAAGTTTTCCTGGTTACTACTTCCAACCAGAGAAGCACATCTGTGTTACCGGGTGGAAATCAGGAGGCCATGCTCTCATGCCAACCAGCTACCCATGGCGGCTGGCCTCGCTCACCTCGGTGCCGCCTCCAAAGCCCTCCACTGTCCACCGTGGGAACCAACAGCTGGCCTCTGTCATTTCCACGGTCACTCCTTCCAGCATCCCTTAAGCCTGGGCTTCCCTTGCATGGCGTGGAAAATCCTTACACCCAAGTATCATGCCAACGCGTGAATGCAAACATTAATTCCATGTGACCACCGCCCAATAAAAAGTTAGAGGAGGATCATTCTTTTGGGGGGGTTTTTTGTGTGTTTTTTTTTAAGTATGCAGACTTCGGGGCTGTTTTCTTAGTAATCTCCGGTTCCCTCCAGCTACTCCACCGCAATCACTACTCTTAAAACGCATGGCCCACCTCCATCCACCTCCATCCCGGGCGGCGTGTGTCACTCTCCACCCAAAACCGGTCAAAGCGGGGGAGCCACGCGGGTCGTTTCCGGGGAAAGGAAAGAAGAACCGCCCGGCGTCCCTCGGTAACTTCCGATCCGCTTTCCCCACGGTTCCCACGGCGCGTGCCCACGGGGATCCGTGTCGGGGCGGAAGGCGGCCGCTCCCGGCACCGAGCGCCGCCTCCGCTGCGCCGGGCTGGGAAGCGCCCTCCGCCCGGGGCGGGCGGCCAAGCCCGGCGAGAGGTCCCGGGCGGCCGCCGTCCCAGCTGTCAGCCCGCGCCGCGGGCGGCGCCGCGGTGCGATCCCGAGGGCGGCCGGGGCCCGGCCCCGCGCGGGCGGCCGGGAAAGGGCCGGCCTCTCCCAGGACCCGGGCGGCGGCCTCCACGGACGCCCCCCGCCGCCCCCGGCAGGCCCCGCGCGCCCCGGCCGCCCCCAACCCCCGCGCGGCCGCGCGACGCCGCCTGGGCCGCCGGCAGCGCGCGCGCCCGCACCTCCACGTCGATGTCCAGGAAGCCGCCCTCCGCCACCTCGAAGATGAGGCCCATCTTGGTGCCCGAGGTGACCCGCTCGAAGAAGCACTCCTCGGCGTGCGCGTCGATGCTGACGAAGTAGCCCGAGGCCGTGGCCAGGAGCGCGGCCACGAGCACCAGCAGCTCCGCGAGCGTCACCATGGTGGGGCTGGGCCCGAAGCCACGTCCGGGACTGCGGCCTCCGGAGCCGCCGCCGTCGCCGCCACCGCCGCCTCCTCGGCCGCCACCGCCTCAGCTCCGCCCCTTCCGGCTGCGCCGCCCGCGGGGGCTGATGCGGGCGCCGCGGATTGGCCGGCGCCGGCAGCTGCCACGTAACGGACGCACGGCGGCCGGCGAGGGTCACGGCGGCCGGCGGCGGCCCCGAGCCTGGACGGTGGCTCCGAAGGACCAAAAACCGTCGGCCCCGCGATAGCCCCGAACCTCGCCTGCCCGCTCGCAGTGCCCTCCTTGGGTTGTTCAGAAAGACTTGGAGGCAACAGTAGGTGTGACTGCATAGAAGGACACACTTGCCAGGGCTTTCTCATATAAGGGTTTAATCTCCAACAGTTACAGGAAACTCAAACAACTTTTTTAAAATATATGTTTTTATTGATTTTACACAGAGAGGAATTGAGAGGGATAGAGAGTTAGAAATATCGATGAGAGAGAAACATCAACCAGCTGCCCCTTGCAAAACCCCACTGGGGATGTGCCCACAACCAAGGTATGTGCCCTTGACCAGAATCGAACCCGGGACCCTTCAGTGCCCAGGCCGACGCTCTATCCACTGAGTCAAGCCGGTTTCGGCTCAAACAACTTAACAAAAGGAAGATAAACAGTTCAATCAAAAAATGGGCAGAGCACCTAAATAGACACTTTTCGAAAGAGGACCTACAGAAGCCCAGGAGGCACATGAAAACATCCTCAAAGTCACTGATCATCCGAGAGATGCAAATCAAAAAAAGAACGAGTTAACCATCTCACACCTGTCAGAATGGCTATCATCAACACATCAACAAACGACAAGTGCTGGCGAGGATGCGGAGAAAAGGGAACCCTCATGCACTGCTGGTGGGAATGCAGACGGGTGCAGCCACTGTGGAGAACAAGACGGGGTTTCCTCAAAAAAATTAAAAATGGAGCCCCCATTTGACCCAGTGATCCCACTTCTAGGAATATAAACCAAGAAACCAGAAATACCAATCAGAAAGAATATATGCACCCCTATGTTCATAGTGGCACAATTCAGTGGCAGCCTAAGTGTCCATCAGCAGATGAGTGGATTAGAAAAATATGGTACATTTACACAATGGAATACTATACTGCTATAAAAAAAAGAAAGAATTCTTACCATTTGCAACAGCATGGATGGACCTGGAGAACATTATGGTAAGTGAAACAAGCCAATCAGAAAAAGATAAATGTCACATGATTTCACTCATATGTAGGATATAATGATCAACATAAATTGAAGAATAAAAACAGATCCAGAGACAAGGTAACACTGAACAGACCATCCAACCTCAGAGAGAAGGTGGGGGGCAGGGAGTTAGAGAGCAACCAAAAGACTTGTATGCATGCATGTTAGCATGACTAATGGACACAGACAGTAGGATGGAGGGCATGTGCTGGGGGTAGGAGTGGTGGTGGGGCAATCAAGGAAAAAGGAGACATGTAATACCTTAATTAAAAAAATATATGTACAATTTAAAAAAAAAAATAGGAGTGGAAGTCATGAGAGATGGGGCCTCCCTGCGCCCTGCAAACACTGGCAGAGAGAAGATGGTGGCGGGTACGGACAGGCAGGGAGGGGAGCACCAAGGGCCTCCTGGGATGTTGGCCCTGTTTGCATCTTCACCTAAATGAAGGGCATATGAGTATTTATATCGATTTTTCATCAAGAAAATGTTTACTTACAACAAATGCCCCTTAATTTACTGTAAAATAAAATTGTTTTAACTTTATCTAAATCCTCCAGAATTCAAATCCTCTCCGTTACCCACAGACACACCAGTTGACCTTGGCTCTTGCCAGGTTCTAGGACTTTTTTTCCTGACATGCTCCTACTCATCCCTCAAAGCCCAGCTCACACGTCACTTCCTCTCCTCTGAATCCCTCTGCCCGGCACCGGCCCCTTCCCCTGTGCTTACCATGCGGATCTGTGCCTCCTGGGTTATGGTGCCCTCAGGCCCCCGGAGGCCTCGCTCATGACAAGTTGGTTGTGTTTTTGGAACCGGCAAACTGGCCAGGGGTGCAGAAGTCTAGGTTGCTGCTCCGGCTTTGCGACCTTAACTGTGTCACATCACTGCTGTCTGTCTGTAAGGGAAGAACTGTCTTTATCTGTCTTTATCTGTGGAGGGGAGAACACCATATGCCTTCTTTCGCTAGTTAGATCAGATGGCACCATGTGTGTGCATGAGCTGTTTGAGCGGCTGCTTCCTTTTTTATTTATTTCTTTTTTTACAGAGAGGAAGGGAGAGGGATAGAGTTAGAAACATCGATGAGAGAGAAACATCGATCAGCTGCCTCTTGCACCCCACCCCCACTGGGGATGTGCCCGCAACCCAGGTACATGCCCTTGACTGGAATCGAACCTGGGACCCTTCAGTCCGCAGGCCGACGCTGTATCCACTGAGCCACACCCCTTAGGCTGAGAGACTGTTTCTTAAAGACATCAGGCAACAGGGGGCAGCGATGGCCAGTTTCCCACTTTCGGTGTGGAGCACGGGAGCAGCGATGAGCCTGTCCTGGCGATGACCTTGTGTGAGGGGGCCCAAGAGTTCCAGCAGGGTCCCCCCACCCCGCCCCCCATTCCCCACCGTCCGGGCTGCGGCAGTGGCTTCTCCGGCAGGCCAGGCGGTTCGGTTAGGTGATGGTACTGCTCTTCCAGCCTCACTGACCCACCTCCAGCCGCTTCTTATTAACTCTTTCCGCCCCCGATACCTGCAGAGGTTTCCTACTGCATTGAATTAAGCTGGTGGGTGAGCCTTTTGACTTCCCTAATGAGCCAACTCAGAAGAGCGCCTGAGCATCGGCCTATGAAGCAGCGGCTCACAGACTGGTTCCCACAGGGCCGCCCCGGTGTGGGGCCTGCAGGAGGCAGCCCACCCCTGATTCTCTCTCATCATCCGTGTTTCTCTCTCTCTCCCTCTCCCTTCCTCCCGGACAGCAATAAAAAATAAATCGAAAAGTGCCCAGAACACTTTTTATCTAGAAATTAGATATGTTCATTTTCATCTCTGAATGAAGTAAATAACATTCAAACTCCACCTGCCAGGGGTTTAAAAGTTGGACAAAGAGATCGGAGGATCCAAGATGGCTGCTCGGGTAGACATCTAGCCGCGGCAGCACACAACAATTTCAATGGAATACAACTAAAATGTAGAGTGGACATTGCCCAGAGCTACAGGTAGTCGACTGACTGAAATTTCTACAACAAGAAGGAAAGAGAAAACCAGAAAGAAAATCAGAGGAGCTGAAAAAAAGCCTAAGGTACGGAGACATGCTGCGCGCGCCTGCCCGCCCGCACGCGCGCACTGAGAGGTCGCAGCCGGAGAGGAGGAGAGGGCGGGGAGCCGCCTTTCCTTCCCTAGCAGGAAGGAAATAAAACCTCCAGCCTGGGCTGAACCCCCGAACCTGCAGCGCTGAGCCCCAGTTATGGGCCAGACCCTGGGGACTCAGGCTCCGGCGGGGGCCGTGAGGCAGAAAAACGGCGAAAGGCAGGGCCCCGGGAGTCGCGCGCAATGCGCGCAGAGGACTGAATGTTGACTCTGATGCTGGGTTGCCCTAGCCGGAAGAAACAAGGCCTCCGGCCGCGCTGAGCCTCAGTCCGGACTGCTCCGAACCCCAGTTCTGGGCCAATCCCTGGGGACCCAGGCTCAGGCAGAGGGAGACGGGGCTGTGAGGTGGAGTCCGGGGAGAGCGGCGAAAGGCCGGGCCCCCGGGACTCGCACAAACTGCGCGCAGAGGACAGTCTGTGGGACTCGCGCAAACTGCGCGCAGAGGACAGTCTGTTGACTCTGATGCTGGACTTCCCTAGCGGGAAGAAGAAAAAAAAAAAAAAAAGCTCTAGGCTGGGGGAACGCAGAGGGGAGCGGAAGCCCCTGCCGGACTCCAGCCAACCGGGCACAAGCAAGGAGGCGGGCACGGGGCCCCTGGGGGCGTGGGTGCCCCTGAGCCTTTGACCACTGAGCTCGGGCAATGGAGCCAAGGCCGGGGGCTGCTTCCTGGGCGGCGCCGTCCCGGCAACAGGCTGAAGCAGCACAGGAGCCCGCAGAGAACAAAGGGGTGCCACAGGCCAACCTGCTGAGCTCCCAGGACAAGGAGGAAGAAACCAAAGAAGTTCTCAATGTGAAGAAATCAAGTGAGAGCAAAAAATAGTAAAATTACTTAAGAAAGAATACAAAGAAGATCTTGAAAAATCAAAGACTAAGTCAGAACTCAACTCACCAGCCAACATTGCAACATAAATGCGTTTTAAAAAGAAAAAAAAAGGACAGAATGTTGGAACAGCGACGGCCAGGCCTAGAGTGGCCAGGCACAAGGCAGTGGCAGCCAGACCCGGAGCAGCAACGGCCAGGCCCCAGAACAACAGCAGCCAGAACCAGAGAATCAACAGCCAGCACTGGAGTAGCCAGACCTGGGGCAGTGGCAGCCAGGCATGAGGCGGAGGTGGCCAAGCCCAGGGTGGCCAGTCCAGGAACACCCAGACCCGGAGTGGCCGGGCCCGAAGAAGCCGGGCCCAGAGCAGCCGGGGTGGGAGCAGCCAGACCCAGAACAGCAGTAGCCAAGCCCAGAGCATCCAGGTCGGGAGTGGCCAGGCTTGGAACGGCCGGGCCCGGGGCAGCCGGGCCCAGAGCAGCCGGGTCAGGTGCGGCCAGGCCCGGAGCAGCAGCTGCCAGGCTGGGAGCGGCCAGGCCCGGGGGAGCAGGCGGGTCGGGTGCGGCCAGGCCCGGAGCAGCGGCTGCCAGGCTGGGAGCGGCCAGGCCCGGGGGAGCAGGCGGGTCGGGTGCGGCCAGGCCCGGAGCAGCGGCTGCCAGGCTGGGAGCGGCCAGGCCCGGGGGAGCAGGCGGGGCTGGTGCGGCCAGGCCCGGAGCAGCGGCTGCCAGGCTGGGAGCGGCCAGGCCCGGGGGAGCAGCCGGGTCGGGTGCGGCCAGGCCCGG